TTCTTTATAACACGCGTAATCTAGAGATTTAAAAAAAAATCTGATTTAAAAAGCTTATCTTAATTTAAATATTATTATAGTTTATAAATATTCAAAAAATAAAAAAAAGAACTTAATAATATTTTTTAAAAATAAATCAAATAATTATAATTAATTTATAATTCTAAGACTACTCTATAAATAATAAATATAAAAAAAATGAAAAATTTTATAAAAACAGTTTATTTTATTTTAAGATATATTTTTATATAAATATAATCTATTATATTTTAAATACAGCTAAGGCGCCTACTGCATCTTATTTATTTTAATTAATTAAATTAATTAGATTAGTTAGATTATTCTGATATTTATAGAAAAAACCTGAAAAAAGCTTATATAAAATTCCTTATAAAAATATAGTATTTATAAGAGCTGTTTAAATAATTAAAAACTAATCTATTTAATATTAAAATACAAGAATTTTAAGTATAGAAAGAGAAAGAAAAGAAAAGAAAAATATAAAAAAACTTTAGAATATATATTATTATTATATAGAAAAGTCGGTTAGACTAAATAAATAAAATAAAATTAATATAGTTAATAGCAGGTTTTTAGAATATTTAGAATTAAAAAGATTAAACAGATCAAAAAGATTAACTAGATTAAAAAAATAAAAAAGGTCAACTAGATTAAAAAAATAAAAATAATAAACTATTCTTATAGTATCTAGTATTTAATAAAATAATTATTAAAAAGTACAGTTACCAAAAAAAACTATATAAATAATATTATATAAATTTTTCTTTAAGTTTTATTTATTATACAGATAATTTAGCTTTTTTAAATAAAAATAAAAATATAATAAACTATCTAAGCTGAAGTAAGAAGAAGAATAATAATAAAATAAAAATAATATATTTATTTTTAGTAGTCTAATTATTAGTAAATATATAGTTTTTCTAATATTATATATTATAATTAAGATATACAGCTTAAACTAAACTATAATTATATATTTTTATATATATTTTTTGCTATAGGAATCATAATTTTATAAAAAGCTGAATTTTATTAATATTATTAGAATTTTCTGATTAATTCTTTAAAATAGAAATAAAAAAGATACTAATACTTTTCTTAATTATTTTTTTCTGATTTAAAAAGCTTGTTTTTATATACTTTTAAATAATAATTAAAATAGTTAGATTAATAATTATTTAATCTAGATATATCTTAACCGTGCTAAGACCTAAATAAATATAGTAAATAGATTTTAATACTAAAAATAATTAAGATAATTAATTATTCTTTTTTTAGCTATACTATAGTTAGATATAAAAACTTTCTTAACCTGGCTATAACCTGGCGGTCAGGTATAAAAATTCTAATTAACCTGATCTGACCTGGCCGTTAGCCACCCTACTTCTAGTATTAAAAAATATATTAAATAAAAACTAATATTATATATTTTTTAAATAGTTCTTTCTAAATTAAAAGTACTGTTGTATATAAAATTAAAATTATATAAAAAAACTATTATAAATATTTAAGAAATTAGTTTTTTATTAAGATTAATATTATATATTTTATAAATTAACTTAGAGTAGCTTATAAAGTAGTTTTTTTATATATAGTTTTTTAGTTTATTATAAATTTTTTAAAAATAAATTATTGACAGTGGTAACTAAAAACCTTTTAATAAATAATATTAGATTATATATTATATAAGATTTTATATAATATCTTACTAATATAATTATATATAAATTAATTTTAGATATAATTTACAAAAATAATATAGTTTTAAAAATAATAAAATAATTAATTATTAGCTATAACAGATATATAAAACTTAATAAAATATTTATTTTTAATGTTCATAATTAGATTAAAATTATAATAATAATATAAAGCCTGATTTTAAATAATATTCTATTTTTAATAGTAAATTATAAATAGTTAATATTCTAATATATTATTATTATAAGTATATTCAATATTAATATTTAATTAATATTTAAAATAGTTTTATATAATAATAAACTTAGTATAAATCTTACTATAGTTTTTTAAAAAATATCTAGTAATAAAATAATAAATATTAATTTAATTATATATAAATAATAGGCCCCAAATATTAACATATATAAAATTTTTAATTTAAAACTTAAAATTATATAAATTAATATATAATATTAGAAATATTTGATTTTTTTATATAAATATAGTTTATAAGATACTAATATAATATTTTTTTAATATTTAAATTAATAATATATTTAAAAAAATTATATATTTTATACTTAGAGATATAGACCGTATAGTAATATATTAAATATATTAAAATTGATAAAATAACTAATTTTATAATTATATTAATAATAAGATTAATAAAAAATAAATAAATCAAAATATTATAATTATATAAATTATATATAATCTTACAGCTTATTATACTAGTAATATTAATAAAAATATTATTTTTTATTTATAATAATATAACTAATTTATTTATTATTTTCAATAAAAAGTATTATTTTTTTAACATTATATTTAATTAAATATTTAAGTAAGCTAGTTATTTATATAAAATAAAATTATTTAAAAAACTAAAGTAAACTAGTAACAATCAATATTAAATATATTAGTTAAATTATTATTTTTATTTATAAATTTAATAAAAATAATACTGTAGCTAATAGTATAAAAATTCTATTAATAATTATTTTAGTCTAATATATATAAAATATAAAAATTTAAAAGTAATATTTAAAATAGTTTATACTTTTTATAATTTTAAAATTAAATATTTATTTAGTTATATAATTTAAATGAATATTCTTTTAGACTACAGCTACTATATTAAAAATAAAAATAAATTAATATAATAAAAATATTTAGTAAATTATAATTAATATTAATAATATTAATAGTAAAAAATTTAAATAATAATACTATTTTTATTAATAGAGATATTATATTAATATATATATTTATATTTTTTTTATTTAGATTTAATAAATATTTACTTTAAAAATAATTATCATTTTCTAAATAAAATATAGAAAATATTAAGTTTTTATTAACAGTATTAAATTTCTTATATTCAAATTAAATATTAAAATTTAATTATTCTTTATTATAATTATAATTATTATTATATTTATACTTATAATTTTTATTTTAATTTTAGCTATTATAATTATTATTATTTTAATTAAAAATATTATTAATTAAAATTTTATTAATAATAATATATATAAATAGTTATAAAAATTGATTTTTATAAATATATTTAAATTATATAAATTACATATAAATTAATAAAAGCATAGCAGTTTTCTTAAGTATTATAATTTAATTTATAGTAAATAATTAAAATATCATAATATTTTAAATTATTATAAAAGATTATAGAAGTTTAGTTTAATTATTTATAGTTATAATATTATATAACTTATTAAAAATATCTATAAATTTTATTAGAAATATATTTCAATTAAAGATATTATTATAATATATATTTATTTATTTATTAAATAAATAAATAGTAGTTATAAAACTAAAGATTTTATAAACTTTTTAAAAAATTTATATATTTTAATTATTATATTATAATCTTAAAAATATACTACAGAGCTGGACTTATATATAATATCAAAAATAATAACAACTAAATAGTTTAATTAATTTTATTTTCGGATATTTATATTATATATAATTTAATAAAGTATAATTTTTTTTCTAGTCTTAATAATACTATATTAAATATTTATATAAATAAATAGATTTTTATTTTTTATAGCTCAAATAGTAGGAACTTGTATAATTTATTTTCTATTATTCAAATATATAACTAATTTTTTAAAAATAGTATAATTATTTTAAAATAGTATAATCATTTTAAAATAGTATAATTATTTTCAAATAATTTCTAAGTATTTACATTTTTAGATCTAAAATAATCATATAGATTATATTATTATATTAACTAATTAAACTTATTTTTTAAATTTTAATACAGCTTTAAAAATATCTATATTAAATAAATCTTTTAATAATATTATAATATAATATATAACCACACTGCTTACGCAATAAAAGTAAATAATTAATTAATTAATAAATTAATAAATATTAGATTTAATATTAAACTGATTAAAATACCTTAAAGGCTTCTTTATCTTATTAAATATAAAAATTACTAAATAAAAATATAAAAAGCTGTTAATATTGTAGATATCAGTATATATAAAAAGATTTTAATAAAAAAAATAAATCTAATAAGAAATATAGCCACGAGGGCTTATAATCTATAAAAGAAAATATATATAGATTAATTAAGATAATTACAGCTACATGGCTGGTTCTCTAAGAGGTGGTAAGATCCGAGATCATGTGACCCCAGATATCTGTCACATACACTACTGCTAAACTCCTCACGTACCTAAGAGACAGAGGTAAGGCAGGTCTTTGGTAGTTGCTGCTTAGGCAGGCATGAAATTCCAGATTCGATCCCAGGCGAGTCCTTTGTACCTTGCATAGAAACTAGGACATCTCGAGGGAGGGGAGTTTATGCCTTTTTGAGATCACCACCATAGCTTAGTCCCGCCAGCGAATAAACAATTCAAGCCATACGTGTAGGCTGTAATCTTACCCATAGAAACCATGTTAACCTATTTGCAAAGGATGTTGTTGGCAATAGACCCCGATAGATCACCTATGCTGACAGGCCCTGGCTCAAACAATGATCCATACGTACAAGCGAATTTCTGCCAGGTCCACTGCGGTAAATTTCTTGCTACATGAAGAGATTAAGGCTCTTATAAGAGGGGTTTTCATGCGAGAAATTGCCAGTCGGAAATGTCTATCAAGGAGTTAAGTGATTTGCAGCATTCTGTGACAGCTACAAGCTTTCACAGAAGCAATATGTAAGCATTGGATCGTAATCCTGTATGCAGGAGGACTTTTATTCGAAACATTAGGGAACTGAGATAAACGCCACAGAACAATTACCTTTATTCATGACTGGGCCCTGTTTCATCCGTAAATAGTAGTGGATCTCCCTGCTCCCCAAGATTGATGAAGTCTTTAGGCGCGCTGTTGTTGTCGCAGGCCTCTCCACCCTTGATAACCTTGGCAGTGTGATTGTGAATACGTTTCCCAGTATGGCTATTGTGGAAAACCCGCACGGTAGCACCGTTGCGCTCCTTGCACTCGTTGAAACTGACATCATTGATACGACTGAGGAGCGTTCTTTCGCGCGCGAGTTTACGCTTGGAAAAGTCCAATTTATCCAAGGCGCCGGTAAGCCCATCCGTACTGTCGGATAAACTAGGGTAAGTTTGTGTAAGCCATGGATGTTCTAAGCATTCGTCGACAGTTATGCGCTTGTCAACATCGACCGTGAGCATCTTATCAATCAGATCCAAGGCCGGATCCCCGACAGAATCCCAATATGGTGATGGGTAGTCGAAACGACCCATTTTGATTTGTTGTGCAAGGGTGTAAGGGTTTTCCGGGGTGTAGAGTTCGTCGGAAAATGGCGGAAAGCCGCAGAGGCATATGTAGAGAACTACCCCAAGTGACCAAATGTCAACTGCTTTAGTGTACTTCCGCCGACGAGACTCCTGCAGTATCTCGGGCGCGACATCTAGAGAGTGAGCTTGAATGTCGAAGTGAGAGATGAGGAACTGGGTATCTGGGTATCTTACAGCTTGGCGTCCCGCATCTGTAAGACAAGAACTGGCGATTAGCAAATATGCTTACCAAAATCACATATTGTATGTACGACATACAGAGTAGTTGTGAATGAATCTTCACCAATTATCTTGGCCAGTCCAAAATCTCCAAGCTTTACTGTCAATCTTTGATCTGCAACGAGAATATTCTCTGGTTTGATGTCTCGGTGAACGATACCACGATCATGCTAACACGGATGGATCATCAGCTAACCCAGGAATGATACAACAACAGTCCATCTGACACATACCAAGTACTTTAGACCTTCAAATATCTGGATGAAAATATGGCGAGTCTCCGTTTCCGAGAACCTTTGTTTGCTGACGATCAGGTTGAAAAGCTCTCCTTCCGAGGCAAGTTCGAGTACAAGATATACCCCATCACTCTCATCGAATGTATCTTTGAGACATAGAAGATTCGGATGACTGACTCCCATCAGAAGCCCAATCTCTTGTTGTAAGGCGTCAGCCTGTGATTTTTGAGAGTCACTTGAACGCTTCTCGAACAGTTTGACCGCATAATTTATTCCCGTAGCTCGTTCCACACAAAGGTATACGCTAGCGAAATGTCCTTTTCCAAGTTGTTGAAGAGTTCTATACTGTTGACGAAAGCGATTTGTATCCCTTGTCCGAGGATATCTGAAGACAAAGCGTGCTTGGTCGAGAATTGTGATCTCGTCACCATCTTCTAATTCTCGATGTTGGTTACGTCCAACAATTGCATCGTTGACAAAAGTCCCGTTGCTAGACAAATCCTCTAGGATAGCAATTGAATCACCTTTCTTGTTCTCAGGGAACAACAGAAAGTGACGATTGGACACAGTGGGAATGTTTAGGACAAGATCTGACTTCTTGTTAGTAATCTGTGCATTGGACATGGCATCAAATCTTACTGACCACACTCACGATGGCGACCTATAAGATAGCCTCCCGGTGCCTGTAAACTCGCTCGCTTATTCTTTGACTCAGGCTCCTTGCGATGTCCCTTTTCTCCTTGCATGACTCCGTTAGATCCAAGCTCATGGCTCCCACATCCACTCCTTTTGCGCAAAACCAGAGAGGATGGAGCCTTATCATCGAGGGGAAGGAGATAACCCCAAACCCCTTCCGCAGCTTCGTCTTCAACTTCATCGGCAAGTGCTCTAGGTGGATAAACAAATTGAGAGAGGGCCTGTGTATCGTGAGGCGGGGATGGACTTGGCTGAGGAAACCCAGTACTCAAGGGCGTACTACACTGTTGGACGCGTTTTGTGTCATTCGCGGTTCCAGCTAGCTCTCTATCGTCGCTTCTAGTGCTCAACTCCTGCTGGACTATAGGCGTAGGTAGGTATAACTGATCAATTGGCTGTGGTGGTAATGCTTCAGACCGTCGCGCTTTTTTGAGGTCCTTCGAATCATGCTCCTTGTGTACCTACAATGAGATTTCAATCAATTAGCCTTGCGTGATAAGGTATTAGCACGGACTCGGTAGATCGATGTACCCTTCCGCGCTTGAGAGAGCTTCTCTCATTTTGTGGTGTCATTGTTCCGCCTTTAACATCATATCAAATTCTCAACTTGCATGTAGAAGCCTCAGATCTCATGGTCTGAACAAGACTGGTTCCTTCTAAAATTCTGTTTGAGACTAGCTGGAGATACGGCGGGATTGTGGTTGCTGCTTTTCCAGAACCCTCGACCTGCTACATTCACCTGTATAAGGGGCAGGAAAGCAAGAGCTCAAAATGGATTCCAGATAATGATTAGAAAAATCAAGATCGAGAAAGGAAAACAAAGATAAGGAAGATAAGGTTAAGAGATGTGGAAAGGAGATGGCGGGCCGACTGGCTCAATTTCGGCGAGGAGCGAGAAAGTGATGGATTTCAAGGGACTCTGAAACACTCATCAATGGGGGAGATACTGCTGTGGACCTGCTGTTAGGCAATCAATGCAAATCAAGCTGCAACTAGTGTGTGACTGATCGAGGAAGTCGTTCTCCGCTGCGCTTGAGACCTTCATTTAAGCTTTAGTTTTGTATATATAAGCTAATGGCACACTACAGGATGAAGTAAATTGGGATGACTCGTAGTCCTAGTTTATCTACTCATGTGAAAACAATCCAGCTAGAAAAGCAGATATGATGATGGTCAACTACCAGAACGCGTTCTGGTAACCAGTTTATCCGGTATGCGGATATACGTTAATACGAGTGAGCTCCGCAGGTAGTCTCCAAAGTAAGTTATTCTGAGAGCGATAATCGTACAGTGTGTACCTACAGAACTTTTAATGCGGGACTCTGGAGAGAGCTTATAGAAGACTGATTGGGCAAGCTATAAAGCATAAGTCAGTGAAAATAAGGACGTTAACGCACGATCTGTTGCTGAAAGACCAACTACAACATCCAATCATAAGAAGTTTGCTTTACAAGAGCCCGTCCGTTGTTGTGAGCTCACTATCAGTATGGCCTACATAGTGCCATGGTTTAACTTCGGATGTCTTATAAGCCGTCTTTCTACGTAGTGATTGTTAGCTTTCATAGCTTTTATAGCTGAACAAGTTCCCTCAAATTTGAGGCTGACCAAGTACGTAGGGGGCGGAGACCCTCAGGGGTAGTGGGGTGTGACTCCATGGACATTACTGCACTTAGTAGGTGAGTCTAACTACCTACGGGCCGAGGTACAGTACACCGTAATATTGGATCCACCTTCGGAGTGCAACTGCCAGATACGCACTAACTACCTGCGATATATGAATTCGCAAGCTACCCCGTATTCTCTCTGCTGAGTTCTTAGCCTTGCAGCCACTGCTCTGTGTAACTACCACTTCGACCTAGAGAACTCATAAATCACAACTGCTCTTAAGTCAATTCATAAGGAGCGTCTTCATGATGGTCGAGTAGGTCGGCCACAATCCACTCATATGCCGCAGATACTGATGAACTCTCGTAGGCTCCCCTCAGCTATTCGACGAGCTGCGCTAGGAAAGCTTGCAACGCTAGCAGCCCAAGCTCCAGAACACGATGCGGGCTCGATGATTGAGCGCATCTCGCAACCGTTGAAACAGCATGCTAATCGGCCACTTGGCAGTCCCCTGCCAGGCCAAGGTTCACCACGGACCTCCATGGTATGCTTCGCCCCGATATAGTACGTACACTGAGGACCATGAAGACTGACATTCCGGCAGGGTACCAGAGAGTTAGACGTGATAATTGCCCTATGTAAAGCTTCGAGTTTCACCGCTACTCCCCAAAATGCATCGAAGATCGCGTCGCAGCTGTGTCAATACCTTCCAGAATCGCACAGCCAGTCCTTCCGTCCTTCGCCCTTTCTGCATAACGTGAGACCTTCTCCGTGGGAGGCGCTCACTCATAATCTTACCTTGGCTCTCCTATCATTGGGCTCTAAATATGCAGGGCTGCGTACTATTGTCTTTGGTGCCCTCAGCGCATACTTACGAAGTTGCGCCGAGGCCATCGATGCCGTGGCGCCCTCTCAGCGCTACGAACCCGAAACAACGGGACACGAGAATTGGCATGAACTAGCCCGTATCTTATCAACCACCATGTCTCTTGTCGGCTTCATGGAAGCATTGGCCCGCTTCGATTCATTCTGTTCTACCGATGAGAAACTTCAGCTTCTTGAAACATTACGCTCATTACTCTCAGACCAATACATGATAGCCGTGGAGACCGCTTCTTCCACGGTGCGCAACCCAAGTGTTCCCGATGCTCTTGTGGGTGACTGGAGACGATACACTCACCGCTATGCTACCGATGGACGTCCCCTGGGGGCCATGTTGTTGCAGGAAGGCTTGGCACACTTTGTCAAATCGTGCGCTGTGTCTCTGAACGGGACACACGACCTCTCAGACGAAGACCTTCCGAATGAGCATCTTGGTGGCCGTCAATCAACCAGGTCTCTCAATGACGCCGAATTGGCCCTCGTCGATAAATTGGCAACAATCATAGCGGAGGAAATGCGCCTTCTGGAAGATGGATCGGACTACTTACAGCTTGGCTCGCCTTGGCAGCAGCGGCTTGCCTCTTCCGTGAAAAGGCTCGCCCTTACTGGCTACCTCAATTGTATCGTCGTAAGCGAGGATACCACAAACAGCGAAGACTTCCTTTCGTGGCTTGAGGCGACGGTTGCAGACCCGAATCAGATGTCGTACCCAGACCTAGCGACAACTACACTAAAAAGCATAGCGATTATTTCTCGGCTATCCCCTAGCAGCGCATCGTTCAGCAGTCGGTCCCTCTTGAAATTTATCGTCGATGGAAGCGTGTCCGCTCGTTCGACTAGTCTCGTTGCTGCACAATGTCTTGCTCATGTTCTAAGTATTCTTTCCCAGGACGCAGTCATAACAAACCTTTATTCGCTGGGAAACGCTTTGAGCCATGGCTCCGGCTCAGACAAATCCCATCAACTACAGCTTCTAGGTGACGGGACAACTCCTGGGAGCACGCTTGCTCTCTTGTCCCGAGGCTTGAGTGATAGTGCTATTTCCTCGGCTTGTGACGAGGGAGAAACAGGACATTATGGTAGAGTTATACAAGCCGTTGTGACGATTGCGAGTAAATGTGATGATGGAAAAATAAGTGCTTTGGCACAGTCAATGCTACTGCAAAAAATAGGGAAGGTGAATATCGCAGTGGATGCTTATATCATAAAAGAATCTGCTGCATTGTCCTTAAGTACTGGCCCGGCTGAGTTCCAGCTTCTTCTGAAGTTTTATGATCGTGCCTACAAGGACAGTGTCGCAAAAGGCTACCTGAATGTTGCCGAAGCCGTGCAGGGCGCAATGGCTTTTATCTCCGGCACGCTCACGAGAAACTCCGTTTTGTATAAGATTTATCTTATTCACCTGCTCGAAGGTGTGGTCAACAAAGGCGCCGCTACTGATATGGACCATGACCATCAGGAGATCTTACTCGCCCCTGACGATATCGGCCCTTTTTTGAAACCACTGGCTTTGCTTGTATCTTCAGGAAATGACTTAACAAAAAATTCGCGATCAGAAATGTGCTATGATCAAGATGTGCTGGCTCTTTTCCGAGATGCCTGGTTCAACATTGCGATTCACGGTATAACGCTCAATTCTGCTGTCGCCCAGCATCATTGCGAGGAACTGCGCGTACTTGCCAGGCACTCGCCTCCTCTCGTCTCCGAAGATCGCATGGACATGCTGGAGAGCGACGTGGAGCTGAATACGATGCTCAGGCGCGGATCGAGCCAGCAGCGGATCCTAGACCAAAAGAGGAAGCTGATGCTTGAATTACCTGGCCGAGAGGTCGAGGTGAAACGCCTCAGCTATCCGCGAGTGATTTTTCTTAGCGCTACATTGCTAGTTGAAAGTCTTCGCGCTTTGTCGGGAAACTGCACGACAATCCTCAGTTATTTCAGAGACCCTGTTCTAGCAACTGCTGAAATGGCTAGCTGCATGGGTGCTATCGCTGAGAAGGTTGTTTCTTGTCATCTTTCATTGACACTTGCTGGGAAATTGGAGCAGTTTTCTGTGCCGTTCCTATCCAGGGAGCTTGCGGGCTTCTTTGTTGCTTGCTGCCATCGTGTTGAACGAGTTCAGAATATTGCCGTCCTCTGCGCAGACAAAATAATGCGAGAGTGTCCTTCCGCTCTGTGTGAAAGGACATCTCTCTTTGCTCTGCTTGAGCTCTTGACTGTCATGTGGCAGTCTTGTTTTGAAGGCGAACTTGACGAGTACGAGTGGAAGCCATCTTTCACCTCTCCTACTGGTCTTGTCCGAGTCAATCTACCCGACAATTATAGTTTCAGAGAGAGGACACTGGAAGTTCTTTTAGAGCGTGCCCGGACGTGGGTGATCGCAGTCATGAGTATCTCACCTCTAGACGTCAAAGGACTTCTCCAGGTATGAGGCGACAATATTTGGCTACAATCCGCAACTAACCCTGCCTTACAGGCATATCTTTCCGTCTCTGATGACAACTGCGGAAACGGCCAGATCTCTCTGGGTCGGTCATTCGCTTTGGAAATGGGTGCGCTGATCCCAAGTAGTAATCAACGGCTTGGTACGTTCCAATACATCCTTTGCCTGCCAGATCGTCTCTTGTGGTAGAGATGCACCGCCACGCATGTAACTGATTCCTCTTAGGATCTGTCAAGAATGGTAGTGTTGGTGGCGTATTGAACATAGCCTCCGGTTTTATATCCCAGTTATCCACACGCGAGCGATACAAGTTATCGGAGACATCAAGTGTCGATGGCACCGTGCAAGGATTAGAGTTTTGTTCTGGTTAGGCTTCCCCTGCAGCTCGGTGTTTTCTTGCTGATGTACCTACATCAGATTCTGATGGCTCTGCACCAGGTTCTTCTAATTTGATCATGGCTAAAACCATGGAAGATAATCTTTCTAAACTCCACACACGTTTGAGGAATGGAATAAAAGTCCCTATCACACAAATGCGGAATGCACTGCGACAGGCTGCTGCCCTAGTGAGTAACGACGCTGAGAACCATGCTTATCTTGCACATTATCTAGTCATAGTGCCCTTCGAACAATTCTCGCAAGAGTCAATTGACATCGGGGCGTCTCTTTGGTTGAGTGTGATGCATGAGAATCCCAAGATGTGTGTCAAATTGTTATCTGAAATAATGGGGGCATGGGAAAGGTCAATATATCGCAAAAGGAACCTGTTCGATCCATCCTTCAAGTGAGTATACAGCTATGACAAGGTAGACACACCTATGCTAACACAGCCTGGAAAAAGCTGTATGGATCCATTCTTTAGCAAAATTGAATTGTTACCCACCGACAGGACTCTGGCGGCACGGAATCAGGAAAGGGCCCAGGAGAAGCTCATGCCACACTTGCGAGTCCTTGAGTTCTTTGAAAGCCATTTCAATGCCACTCGGCTGGCAAACGCTCAAGCCCAGCCTTTGTTTTGCCGTCTTGTTGACGCGACAATGACAGGATTGTTGCACGCTAGCAGTCACCCTTTAGCGCGAGAGCTGCACTTTCGTGTTATCTTGTTTAGTCTTAAAGTTTTGGGTGACTGTAGCTCACAAGATGCACATTTTCAATGGAAATTGAAGGATCAGATCTTGTCAGCCGCTTTGACCTGGTTCAAGACCTCACCAAGGTATTTCACATGCGATCTCTCGGGTTAGGCGCGTTCATTAATCTTTGAAATTCAGATGGTCTTTTGGAGGAAACCGCCTCCAGATCAAGGCTGAAGACAACATCCTCCGCGACGTTATTTCTGCCTTAAAGGGGGTGTCTGCCATTTCTCGCCAAACACAAGGGGCCTATAGATCATTGCAATCAAAACAGGATCTTCTCCATGTCTTTATAGAGAATGAGAGATCGCGCCTTAGAGTGTGGCTATACCCACTGGACTCCGATCGGAAGCACACAAGCCCACAGTCATCCTCGCCCAAGTCCCTTACCGAGGTTCGCTACTCTAAAACACTCAAGCTGGAGGCCAAAGTTGAAATAAGGCTAATGATCAGCCAGGAAGCCACGACCCTTTTAAGACTCGCTTGGAATGAACATCCAGGCTTGGCGGTCCAGCTGTCAACCCGATTTCCATCGGCGAAGCTCAAGAATGATGTTCGCTGGTTGATGCTCAATTTCCCAGAGAAGGCGATTGACGAGCCTGAAGGTCTGGAGCTGATTTTCGGTACCAATCTTCCCACTGACGTCTCGAGTCAACTGAAGGCAAGTTCAACGTTTGGCCCTAGTCAATTCGGTAAAGCTAACGTGAGTAGTATTTACTTTACTGGGCTTCAGTCAATCCAACCGAAGCCTTGACCTACTTCTTGCCCGCTTATGGCAATCACGCCTTCATACTACAATATGCAATGAGGGCTCTAGAGAGTCATCCCATCGACGTGCGCTTCTATTTTGTCCCACAACTAGTCCAAGCTTTGAGATACGATTCCCTGGGCTATGTCGAACGTTACATACTGGAAACTGCTAAGCTGTCTCAATTGTTCGCCCACCAAGTTATCTGGAATATGAAGGCAAATTCCTATAAGGACGAGGATTCGCAGATCGTGAGTTAATAAAACGTAGAGCAACCAGGGGTATGAGAGGACTGACAATTGTTCGCAGCCGGATCCACTTAAGCCAACCTTGGACAGATTTATGGATGCGTTGGTTGCAAGCTTCACAAATGAGGAGCGTGAATTCTACGAAAGGGAATTTACCTTTTTTAACGAAATTACTAGCATTTCAGGCAAGCTCCGACCGTATATAAAGAGAAGTAAGGCTGAAAAGAAAGAGAAGATTGAAGAAGAGCTTCGCAAGATCAAGGTGGAGGTCGGAGTATACCTTCCAAGCAACCCTGAGGGCGTTGTCGTGGGTATCGACCGCAAGTCTGGGAAACCTCTGCAAAGTCATGCCAAAGCACCATACATGGCGACCTTCAGGATTCAGAAGACTCGGACACAAGCACAAGGAACCCACAAAGAAACACGCTCACTTGCACAATGTTGCAGCGACTTGTCAATCTCGGGGGAGAGTCTGTCAAACGACGAGACCTACGAAGTCTGGCAATCAGCTATTTTCAAGGTTGGCGACGATTGTCGTCAAGACATGTTGGCCCTGCAGATGATAGCTGCTTTTCGAAGCATATTCGCAAGCGTCGGGCTTGACGTATGGGTGTTCCCTTACCGAGTGACCTCCACGGCTCCTGGGTGTGGGGTTATCGATGTTCTTCCAAATTCAATTTCGCGTGATATGCTGGGTCGTGAAGCTGTGAATGGTCTATATGACTACTTTATCTCTAAGTACGGTGGAGAGGATTCTATACGGTTTCAAGAGGCACGCACAAACTTCGTGAAGAGCATGGCTGCTTATTCCGTCATCTCCTATTTGCTTCAATTCAAAGATCGGCACAATGGAAACATCATGATCGACGATGCAGGCCACATCATACATATTGACTTCGGTTTTTGTTTCGACATTGCACCAGGGGGTGTGCGCTTCGAGCGCGCGCCTTTCAAACTGACATCTGAGATGGTTGCTGTAATGAGTGGTAATAATCACTCACATACTTCCCCCAGCGGCGGCTCTGGAAGTGGCTCTCACAGCCCCACTAGTACTCAGCCCTACATGTGGTTTGAATCGCTGGTCGTGAAGGCTTTTCTTGCGTCGAGGCCGCACAGCGCCAAACTTTCTCACATAGTGTCCTTGATGCTCGATAGTGGCTTGCCCTGCTTTAAGCCCGACACGTTGAAAAATTTCCGAGACCGATTTGTACCTGAGAAGAATGAGAGGGAGGCAGCTGATCACATGCGTGAGCTTGTGCGCAAGTCGTACATGAGTGTGTCGACGAAGGGATATGATCAGTTTCAATTGTTGACCAACGGCATCCCCTATTGAACCAAGCTAGTCAGTTTCTCAGCATGTACTGGACTTATGGAAAAATGTCAGATGAACTTATACTCCACCTCAATTGACAGTGTCTCAAGACTTGGTCCACTGTGTACAGTATATGAGCGTGTAAACAAGGGCAACAATAGTTCTAAAGACTCAATAAACTTCATTTAGTTCAGTCTTGTGATACAATGTGAATATAGACTCACTCGCAATAGGAACGAAAAGCGTGAATGCCCTGTGTAGATCATTGATAAGAAGAAGTGTCCTGGAAATAGGGAAGAACCGCAGAACATGCCAGCCAAAACTGCCCTCGAACCACAAGCTCAAAACAGAAGCCTTTCTCCCGCCAGCAACTCCCATTGACCAAAGTCAAGGGGGCCAAGAGTGTCGACGAGCAAATCAACCGAACGAAAAATCCTTAATAGATTCAGTTTACACAAGTCATGACATGGAGGGAAACAAGAGGGAAAGTGAAACATGATCGAAATTTCCCAACTGCCTTTTATATGGCACATACACGGTTTTCAAGGTTTCTCTGGCTATATACGCCGTCAGCCTGCTTCGTAAATCGGCTCTACAATCCCCTCGACATCACCTCATACTTGATGATAAATCCCTCCTATAAGTCCATGGTAAGGCAAAACAGATCAACCAATCCTGAACCTCTGCTCTGAAGATATCAAACGTGACTACAACTGGGGGGCAGTAGCAGGCTCGAATTGAAGTGGGGAGTAAACTGGTCACACTAATCCATGAAATCGCCGCGAAGAATCTTCTCCTGAAAAAAGTCAGGCTTGTTCTGTTTGGGTTGCTTGGGAATTTCGCGAGTCGGTTGCTCCATCGAAGCAATCGAGGTAGCCCGCTGGTGGTGACATTGCTGGCCTGAGCCGCTTAAGAGCTGGGTTTGAGGCGTGTTGGGCGAAGTTATTCCCAAGGATGGGGCACGCTCGGCCCGGGTTCGCAGGGCTTCAGACCAGTTGAAGCCTTCGCCTATTTGTCTCCAAGCCACGTTAGACATCTCGATCTCGGGAAGAACAACATTTGTACTAGCAACAGCTGACTCTGTGGGGCTATGGAAGCTTTTGCTACATGTGGGCGGTAAACGTCGTCTGCTAGACGCAGGAATCCCAGGGGGGGGAATATCTACCGTTGCTAATGCTGCCAGCACGAGCATCTCGTAGCGCTTGCGCGCCAAAAGAAAGACGTCGCGCGAATGGAGAGTGAGGAGCGGCGCTAGATGGTCCGCCACTCTCACTGTCTTCAACGACAGCGTCTTCTAGATTTGCCGAACCGGATCCAACTGAGCTGGAAATGCTGCCATGCCGCATGCTTTTGCTTCCCCATGGGGACGATTGATTCGGAGATCCAGCGAGCCCCAAGGTGGTGATGGACAGTCGTCGACCTTGACTGGGTGGTGCATTACCCACTGAACTATCCATAGAGCCCGTGGGTGCGCCCGCAGAATGTCCCTGGCTGCCGGACCTAGATAGATAATCCGCAAAGGAAAGGCCTGAGGCCAAGGATGCTCGGCGTCGATGCGCAGAAGAAGATGGGACCGAGATAGGGTCGGTTGAACGTTCATTTGACATGATGCCAAGACGCGCGTGAATTGGCCAATAAGGAGATAGCGAGGGTTATGTCTTAATCACATGGATCAAAGTGATGGGAAACCATTCGAAGAAGATATCGTAAGTGGGGGGAGTGGGAAAGGGATGAGAACGAGCAACGCCTTATGCGGAGAAGCACGGTGCGTTTGGGGAAAGAGTAAGTTAAAGTTTCCTAACTTCAGCAGAAGCCCTCGCTCAGGTGATAACTTGCTGTGGGCGATATAGCTTGACTCAGGCTGGGAACCGCTCTAGATACCGCTCTGGGCTGAACAGCCTCACGACCACACGAGGAGAACGTAGGAAGTGAACTGTAGCAAATCAGCATACATCAGTTGACCCACCGGCACGTTATGCTGATTTTGAAGAACATCCAAGGATCACTGAGACTCGACGAGTAACGGTGGCGACGCCAGATGGAGTGTCATGATGGGGGGGTTCATGAGATGGGATGGCATGGGCTTGACCAAGGGGTAATGGAAGGTTGCACGATAGGGGCAGGGGCAGAAGTAAAGCGTTGAGACCAATTGTTCAAACTCACCGGTCCAAGCGAAGCCCGGCCGAGAAACAGTCTGCAAATGTTCCGAACAGGCAAGAGGTGGGATGGTGAGATAAGAGGAGAGAGAAGAGGGGAGAAGAAGGGATAAGCGAGGTCGTGAGGTTTTAAAGTTTAAGAGTAGGGAGAGGGAAAGGAAGGAGAAGAAGGTTAAATCGATACAATGGCGATGAAATGGCGATGAAATGGAGATGAGATGGAGATTTGGGATGATGGGGATGGATGAAAGAATGATAGAGGTAATAGGGAAGAAAGGGTGATGGATTAGGAAGGATAGAAAGGAACCTTCTGAGGAGTGAAAGAAGGAAGGAAGGAAGGAGGGAGGGAAGAGGCGGAGGAGGCGGAGGAAGAGGAGGAGGAAATCAAGAGCGGTGGGAAAATATTAGATAGGAAGATGGATGGATGAATGGAATAGTATGTACCTCCTACTTACGTATGTACGGTACGGAGTAGTTACAGTGTAGTTAATCCCACATACCTTAACTAGTCCTTAGGTAGTTAAGTTACGGAAGTACTAACGTTACTGACTGACTGCCGGTTGCTTGGTTTGCTTCTTACCCCACAAAATAGAAAAGCGGTCTAGCCCTTTCCGTCTACTAATCTAACTAGGTAACCTGAACTACCCAGTTGACTGGGGTCGATAATTCATCATTGGTTTAGTGCATCCATGGTAAGATAAGTTAACGTATTTGGTAAGCGAACCGGCCACATAAGTGAGCCAGCCACCCCCTCAACCACTACTATATCTATAAAACTAAGAATATTCAGATATTAATTTCTCCACTAAAAATACCTATATCATCAAAAAAATTGGTAGAATAAGAAGACAGATTATGTCTTATAATTAAAGCTATTTAAAAAGATTAAATTATGTTAATTTAAAAAGTTATATCAGTTTTTAATATTTTATATTTAACTTTTTAAAAATATTTTAAAAAAGTTATTTTTTATAAAAAGACATATACTACTAGTTACAAATTAACTTTTTTAAAGAAGAAATTACTTAATAAATAAATCATATTACTAGATTAATACGGTGTATTATTAAGATATTTTTAGATATATAATATAGCTTGGATCTTAATATAAAAGTATGATTAAAAAATAACTTTTTGTAATGGTGCTGATCGATAAGACGAAGATACGATAAGATTAATTGTATTAAAATAGTTAATAAAAAGAAAGTTTAAAAGGCTAAGACCACTGAGAAATATCTGCTAGACGGAAATAAATAGTAGAATATTAATATTTATTACAGATGCTATTATTTTAGAAAACTGACGTCCGTATTAGTTAAATATATAAAAATTATTTAAAAAAGTAGACAGAATATTATAAAGATAGGATATTAGGTTATTTAAATATATAGAGTTAATAAATACAACTTCTAAAAATATAAAATACAAAATATATAGATATGAATATAAAAAAATACTTAAAATAAAAAATATTAGAATAAAAAAACTAATTAACAAACAGTTATATATATTTAATAATATAATATTTATAGTTCTGTACTAATTTGTTTACAGTAATATTATTAGTATAAATCTATTTATTATATTAAGATTTATATTCTTTTTAATAAATAGAATATTAAATAATAAAGATATAGTATCGGCTATATAAAATAATTTACTTGTATAGAATAACAAAAACTTTCTAGCAGTTATTATTATAAAGGTATTTATTTTTAATATATAGAGATTTACTAAAAATATAATTATATAAATTAAAACTATACAAAACAGATTTAAACTAAATAATTAATATAATAAAATATATTTTTTATATATTAGATAGATTAAGGCGGTATATATATTTACTAATAATTTTTAAAACTTTAGATAAATTAATATATTATTAGATTAATTTATTTTTCTATTTTTTATAGTAGAAATAATATAGTTATAATATAAATAAAGATACATGGAGTCGCCGAATATAAAAGATATAAAAATATATTTAGTATTATATATTTTTTTTATTCTAATAATAGTAAACTTTAAAGTTTTTTTAGTATTATGTTAGGAACTACTTGACGCAGTAGACACGCTGGTTAGGTAAGATAAGTAAGATAATTAAAAATAGTTTTTTATTAATTTTAAAACTAATTCTTAAGAAATCTTTTTTTTTAAAAAATCTTAGAATAATATATTATATAAAAAAAAGAAATAAGTAATATAATAATATAAATATTCGGATTAAAATTCTAATAAATCTATATTAATTCTAAAATAGCTATTATAATAATAGATATAAACTGCTATAATAATAGATATTATATAATAATTATACTTTTTTATTAAGCCGGGCTATTTAATATAGTAATATAACTATAAATAATTTTATTATTTATTCTAATTAGATATTTCTACTAGTAATATTCTTTAAATAATAGAATTCGGTGCTATAATAGTAAAAAAATTATTTAATAAACTATATATTCTATAAATAAAAAATTTTAAAATAATAAATAGAGTATATATTTTATTAATAATCTAATTAGAATTCGATATAAAGTATATATATAAATAAAAAAAATTAATATATCTTTATTTATTTTTATATTTTAATTTTTTATTAAATCTTTTTTTTATATTTTTTTTTCTTGTTATTTTTATTTTTATTTTTATTATTTATTTTATATTTTATTTATTAATTTATTTTTTTTAAAACTTTTATTTCTACTGCTTTTTAATATAATATTAATAATTATTTAGTATTATTTAACTGATATATTTATTATACTGTTAGGAACTACTTGACGCAGTAAACACGCTGGTTAGGCAAGGCAAGCAAGATAGTTAAAAATAGTCTTTTATTAATTTTAAAACTAATTCTTAAGAAATCTTCTTCTCTAAAAAATCTCAGAATAATATATTATATAAAAAGAAGAAATAAGTAATATAATAATATAAATATCCGGATTAAAATTTTAATAAATTTATATTAATTCTAAAATAGCTGTTATAATAGTAGATATAAGCTGTTATAATAGTAGATATTATATAATAATTATATTTTTTTGTTAAGCCGGGTTATTTAATATAGTAGTATAGCCGTAAATAATTTTATTATTTATTCTAATTAGATATTTCTACTAGTAGTATTCTTTAAATAATAGAGTTCGGCGCTGTAATAGTAGAAGAATTATTTAATAAATTATATATTTTATAAATAGAAGATTCTAAAATAGTAAATAGAATATATATTTTATTAATAATCTAATTAAAATCCGATGTAAAATATATATATAAATAAAAAAAATTAATATATTTTTATTTATTTTTATATTTTAATTTTTTACCGAATCTTTTTTTTTATATTTTTTTTTGTTATTTTTGCTTTTATTTTTATTATTTATTTTATATCTTATCTGTTAATTTATTCTTTTAAAATTCTTATTTCTATTATTTTTTAATATAATATTAATAACTATTTACTATTATTTAGCCGATATATCTATTATACCTAAGATTTTTTTTTATCTGTATTACTTAAAAACTAGTATTAAAAATTTCGATATTATTAATATAAAAAATTTTATATCTGGCTGTATTTTTAATATTATAATATTTATAATATATAAATAGTATTTTAATAGAAACTAGATTTATTATTAAATATATTTCGACAGCTTCTCGGTAAATTTTTTAAACTAATAAAAACTAGATTTTAGTTAGTATACTAAAAAATATTTTTAAGTTTTTACAAATTCTAAATTAAAATTAGAAGTTTTTTATTAACTATATTATTTTTAATTAGAATCTAGATTAGAATCTGATGCTCTATATTTAAATTAATTATTTAATTCTAATCTTAGCTACTAGCTTTAAAATAATTGAACTGGTTTATTATTATAAGTATAAGCTGACTGGTACTAGTAAGTCTAAGATTATTATATATTTTTTTATTAATTTTTTATTAATTTATAGGCTAATTTACTAATCTAATCTGGTTTTTTATTATTTTTTTATTATAGGCTGTTATTTTATTATAAACAATCCAACTATACTTTATCTAATATCCGAAAATAATAGATTTTTTTTATAAACTAGAACTAAGTAGGTATTTTTTAAAAAAATTTATTATAAAATATATATTATATATAGCGATAAGACCTTTTTTTAGAATTTTTATATTTAAAAAATAAAATAGTTCTGGCTTTTTACTATTTATTTTTTATAAAAATAGTACTAATTAGCCGGATTAGTCTAATAGTTTTTTAATAAAAGTCCGGCTTATTTGTAGAAATTTTTATTTTGATTATATATTTTAATATTAATTTTTAAATATATTTAATATAGTACTTTAATATAAATTCGGTTATTTTTTTTATATTTAAAAATAAGATATTTTCTACTGTTTTAATTTTTTTTTTATTTTTTATAGCTTTAAATAACTTACTGGGCGTTATTTATAAATTCTTCTAAGATTTATTTATTATATTTATTTAACTAGTCTGTTTATTTAATTAGAAAATATTATTTATTATTAAAAATCTATTTATTTTTAATATCTTCGACCTTAAACTTCTTTTTTTTTTAAATCTAGAAAATAGAGTTGGTTTTATAAATTTATATTAGATTTCTATTATTCTAATAATAATATATAAAAAATATTATAGATTCGACTATAGCAGTCAGATAGAAAAATTTAATATATTTATTTTTTAATAACTACTAGAATTTTTAGAGATTTAATATATCGAGAAACTAGCTTCTAAAATAAGATTTTAATTTTTAAATTTTTAGTAGACAGTTTTATAAGATCTTTTTTTTTAAAAATTATTAGCTGGTATTTTTTATTATAATATTTTTTTATTGCTTTATTAGCTTTTTACTAGTAATTTTATAAATTTTTCTGTAGTACAGCTAGCTTATTAATTTAATTTTTAGTTGCAGAAATCTTTTTTTAAAAAATATTAACCTCAGCACGCAGATAAAAATCAGATAAATAATTTAAAAAAACTTGGAAAAAAAAATAGTAGTTAAATTTAGAGTATTATTATAAGTAAATTAAGCAGAAGACAGTAGAATAAACTAGTTTAAATAATTTTTATTAATAAAGTATCGAAGATATTATTTAAAAGTCTGATTTATTTTTTTAGTTTAACTATTAGTTTAGAATTAAAATATTGTTAATAAACAGAGTTTAATCTAAATATAATAAACAACTCGAAACTAAAATTTACTAATAAAAAAAAATCTTTATCTAAGATTATATTTTAAAATAGTCTAAACTAAAGTTTAATTTTTCTATAAAAAAGTTTAGCAAGTTTTAAAGCAGTTATAATATATAAAATAAATAGAAATTAATACTACTTTATAAATTTATTTATAATAATAAAAATTAAATTTAAAATATTATTTTTTATTATAATAGAAGATAGATCTATAATAAAATTTATAAATAATTTAATAAAAAATCGGCTAGAAATCGGCAGTAATTCGAGCTTGCTATATAATTTATATCTAATAAATATAATTTTTTAATATACAGAATACTTTTTAATATAGATAATTATATTTTTATAAAGATTTATTTAATAAAACTTTTTTTTAAAAAAAATTTTTATTTTTAATTATCTAAAATAGTCTACTAGCTGATTATTATAATAAAGATTTAATAAATATTACCAAAGACTTTATTCTACAGAAATATATAAATAATACTTATATATAATAAGATTATTTTTGTTAATTTTCTAATATTTAGATCTAGAATTATCTTCTAAAATAATAAGTTTTTAATAATATATTTTTATATCTTTATTTTAGATTTTTCTAATTAGAAAATACAATTTCTTATTAATTTTAAAATAGAATAAGTTTTTATTTTTATATACTCGGAATATTATTAATATACTAATATATTTATTATAAAACAAGCTTACTCTAATAGTTTTAGAATATAATAAGTTTTTATATTTATATACTTGGAATACTACTAATATATTAATATATAGATTATAGAATATTTTTATTTTAATAGTCCAGTCAACTATTTCTATATCGGTTTAATTATATTTAAATTCTAATAAACTTAATATATACTGGCGGATATAAAATTTAAAATTTTTTTATAAAAATATCTTATTATATTCTAGTTGGAATTTTTTTAAAATTAATTATAATCTTATAAAAAATTTATCAGCTATTTAATACTATATCGATTTTAGAATTTTTATATTAAACAGAACTTCTAAATCTTTTTTTATTTTTAATAATAAATTAATAAAATTATATCTATTAAACCGATGTTAAATAATAAAATTATAACTATTAAAATATATATATTATTAAATCTAATAACTATTCAGCTTCGGCTGTTTTATAAAAATCTAAAGATTTCAATAATCTAAAAGAATTTTAATAGTATATAATAGCCCTTTAAGATATTAATACTAATATTTAAATAAATAAATAATAATAAAAAGCTCTTAATTTAGAATTAAATAATAAGTTTTAGTATTATTAAACTTTTTTAACTAGAATATAACAGAATAATATACTTTATAGTTATCCGGCTGAAAGAATATTCTTGTTATATTTTATTAAAAAATATCTGTTTTTATTCAGATTTTTTATTAAGAATTAAAATATCTTAATAAAAACATAGTTTTAAAATTATAAAAAAGTTGTTAGAATATTATTATTTTTTTATTAGTTAATGCTACTTTCCCAGACTTTTTTTTATTTTAGGTATTTTTTAAAAAAAAGATTAGTAGTAATATAATTAGAAAATAATTTTTAATAAAATACTAATAAAAATTACAGAATCCTAAGAATATTTAGATCTTATAATATATAGTTAGTATTAGTTATATAAAAATATTAAATACTTGTCGGAAATCTATTAATATATTATATAAGAATATAATATATTCTAGAAATTTAATATAATTTTAATAAAAAATATACTTTAATAGTTTAATATAAAGATCTGCTTTTTATAAATATTCTAATACTTAATATAAATAAAAAGTATAAAAAAAACAGTTTTTTAAAAAAATAAGAATATTATCTAAATAAATAATATAAAAAATGTCTAATATATTATAGAAAGCTAAATAAATATAGTTTTAAAATATAACCAAAGTATTAATTAATCTAAAGAATATAACTAAATATTTAAAATATCTATAACAGATTTAAAAAACTATTTTCTATTTATTTTTCTATTTAACACAAATTCAGTAATATATATTTTAAATATCTAGTTTAAAGAAATATTTAGCTTCTATAATTTTATTTAAAATTTCTAAAATTAAAAATAAAAAATAGTAATTTTTAATTAAAATTTTATTAAATCTTCTGTAATTTATATATAATCGGAGATCTTTATTTTTTTTTAGTATAAAAAAAAATAAAGATTTCTGCAGAATTTTTAGAAGATTAAATTTATTTTAATTAAATATTTTTATTAATATAATAACAAAGAGATTAGAGCTTAACTTAAAATAAAAAATAAATAGATTTATATAGTAAAATTTTATTATTTTTTAGATTAATAATATGGTCCGAGGGTCTGTAAGAAGAAAATTATTAAAAATAATTAAAAAAAAATATATTTATAAAATCTTAGAGCTTAAAAAATAATATAATCTTATTAGATTTAATTTATAAATAATTCAAAGAGGCTTTATCTTCTAGTAGCTAGATATTTTCTAGAAGTTTAATAATAATATAAATATAAATAAGATTTTAGCAAGCTTTTATAAATTTATAAAAAAATAAAATTTTTAATATTTAGATTTTATACTACTACTGTTGATTTTATACAGATAGATAAATATATAAATTTTTTAAAATAGTTATTAAAAATAAAAGAGAACTTTTAGAAAGATCTAAATTATAATTAATAGCTATATAATATTTTATAAATAATTATATAGTTCTTCTTAAATTAGTAGTAGTAATAAGAATTTTTTATATATTATAAATATTTATAATAAAATAATTAATTATAGTAACTAATAAAACTGTAAGACAGACTATATTTAAATAAAATTATTAAATAAATTAATAATTAATAAGATTAATCTTAGTATACAAATCCAAGTCTGTATAAATTTTAAGTATATTTTTAAAGTAAATAAATATATTAAAATAAATAATAATTTCTATTTTAAATTAGTTTATTAAAAATATAAAGACTTTTTTAACTATTATTTTTTTTATTAGTTCTAGTTCGGTTCTATTTTTATTTTTATAAAAATATTAATTAGCTAAATAATATTTACTATTATATTTATAACAGTAAAAAATTTCTTTTTTTTTAATTTCTTTTATTTCGAGAGGATTTAGACAAAAAAAACTTATTATTAAACTATAAAAATCTGGATTTTCTAAAAGCTTTATTTAAATAGTATTCTCGGCTCTTTAGATCTTGTTTTTTCTTTTAATTTAATATATTTTAATAATAGATAGTAATAGATATTATTTTCTTTTAAAAGTCCGGTAGTTTTAATATATATTTATAAATATATTAACTAAGTTCCGGTGTTAGCTTTAAAAAAAAGATTAATATATATTTATTATTTTATTTAGATTTAAAATAATATTCTAAAATATTTAAATAAAAATAGAATTTTTTTAGATTTTAATTAGTTTATTAATAGGCCTGTTTAAGCTGCTTTATAATATTAGATTATAAAATAATTATATTTTAAATAAAAAAAAAGTTTATTAAATAAAATAATTTTATAATTTTTTAATATTTCGGTAGTCTTCTGGGGATTTTTTATTAATATATTAGTATTATTTCTGCTAATAGATAGAATCTAAATAGCTAATTATAGTTAGAATTTTTTAATTTTTTATTTAATACTTCTGAGGAGCTTTTTTAAAAATATATAATAAATTATAAATCTACTCTATTCTCTATTATAAACTAAATCAAAGAAAAAAATAGAGATTTTTTTAAGTTTAATTTTTTTTTGTTTAGAAGATAAGATCGAGCTAGTATAATATTATTATAATTTTATTAAAAATTTAATATCTTTATATTTTGTTTATAATATTTAAATCTGTTTTTTTAATTATTTTAATTATTTTAATTAGTAAATAATAGTTTATACTTTTTAAATATCTATTTAGATTGGATAATATAATTTAAAAACAGACAAAGTACCTTAAAATAATTCTAATAAAAATTTATTAAATAATATATTACTTTTTTTTAGGTAACTAAAAGTAAAAAAGATTAAAAATTATTAGAAACTATTTAATATAATAGACATGCTGGTTAAGCAAGATAAGTAAAATAATTAAAAATAATCTTTTATTAATTTTAAAACTAATTTTTAAAAAATCTTTTTTTCTAAAGAATCTTAGAATAATATATTATACAAAAAAAAGAAGTAAGCAATATAATAATATAAATATCCGGATTAAAATCCCGATAAATCTGTATCGACCCTGAAGCGGCTGCTATAATAGTAGATATAGGCTGCTGTAGCGGTAGGTATTGTATAACATATACTTAAGATTTTTTTCTATTTATATTATTTAAAAATTAGTATTAAGAATTTTAATATTATTAATATAAAAAATTTTATATCTAGCTATATTTTTAATACTATAGTATTTATAATATATAAGTAATATTTTAATAAAAATTAGATTTATTATTAAATATATTTTAACAGCTTCTTAATAAATTTTTTAAATTAATAAAAACTAGATTTTGGTTAATATATTAGAAAATATTTTTAAGTTTTTATAAATTTTAAACTAGAGCTAAAAATTTTTTATTAATTATATTATTTTTAATTAAAATTTAAATTAAAATCTAATATTTTGTATTTAAATTAATTTTTTAATTCTAATTCTAGCTATCAGTTTTAAAATAGCTAAGCTAGTTTATTATTATAAGTATAAACTAATTAATATTAATAAGTCTAAGATTACTATATATTTTTTTATTAATTTTTAATTAATTTATAAGCTAATTTGCTAGTCTAATTTAATTTTTTTTTATTTTTTATTATAAACTGTTGTTTTATTACAGATAATCTAATTATATTTTATTTAATATCTAAAAATAACAGATTTTTTTTTATAAACTGGGATTAAGCAGATATTTTATAAAAAAATTTATTATAAAATATATATTATATATAGTAATAAGACCTTTTTTTAGAATTTCTATATTTAAAAAATAAAATAGTTCTAATTTTTTATTATTTATTTTTTATAAAAATAGTACTAATTAACCGGATTAATCTAGTAGTTTTTTAATAAAAACTTGGTTTATTTATAAAGATTTTTTATTTTAATTATATATTTTAATATTAATTTTTAAATATATCTAATATAGTAACTTAATATAGATTTAATTGTTTTTTTTATATCTAAAAATAAGATATTTTCTATTATTTTAATTTTTTTTTTATTTTTTATAGCTTCGAATAGCTTGCTAAATATTATTTATAGATTTTTCTAGGATTTATCTATAATATTTATTTAGCTAGTTTATTTATTTAACTAAAAAATACTACTTATTATTAAAAGTCTGTTTATTTTTAATATTTTTAATCTTAAACTTCTCTTTTTTTTTAAATCTAAAGAGTAGAGTTGGTTTTATAAAATTTATATTAGATTTTTATTATTTTAATAATAATATATAAAAAATATTATAAATTTAACTATAGCAGTTAGAGAGAAAAATTTAATATATTTATTTTTTAATAATTATTAGAATTTTTAGAAGTTTAATATATTAAGAAACTAGCTTCCGAAATAAAATCTTAATTTTTAAATTTTTAATAAACAGTTTTATAAGATTTTTCTTTTTAAAAATTATTAGCTAATATTTTTTATTATAATATTTTTTTATTTTTTATTAGCTTTTTGCTAATAATTTTATAGATTTTTTTATAGTATAGTTAGCTTATTAATTTAATTTTTAGTTATAAAAATCTTTTTTTAAGAAATACCGACCTCAGTATATAGATAAAAATTAAATAAATAGTTTAAAAAAATCTTAAAAGAAGAATAACTAGCAGTTAAATTTAAAGTATTATTATAAATAAATTAAATAAAAAATAGTAAAATAAGCTAGTTTAAATAATTTTTATTAATAAAGTATTAAAAATATTATTTAAAAATCTAATTTATTCTTTTAGTTTAACTATTAGTCTAGAATTAAAATACTATTAATAAATAAAGTTTAATTTAAATATAGTAGACAACTTGGGACTAAAATTTACTAGTAAAAAAAATCTTTATTTATAATTATATTTTAAAATAATTTAAATTAAAATTTAATTTTTTTATGAAAAAGTTTAGTAAGTTCTAAAGTAGTTATAATATATAAAATAAATAAAAATTAATATTATTTTATAAATCTATTAATAATAATAAGAATTAGATCTTAAATATTATTTTTTATTATAATAGAAAATATATTTATAATAAAATTTATAAATAATTTAATAAAAAGTCAGCTAGAAATTAGCAGTAATTTAAGCTTACTATATAATTTATATCTAATAAATATAATTTTTTAATATATAAAATACTTTCTGATATAGATAATTATATTTTTATAAAAATTTATTTAATAGAACTTTCTTTTAAAAAAAGCTTTTATTTTTAATTACCTAAAATAGCCTACTAGCCGATTATTATAATAAAGACTTAATAAATATTATCAAAGACTTTTTTCTTTCTATAATAGTTTTAATTTTTTATTTATATAATTTTATAGTTTTAAATATAAAACTATTTTTATTTTTAATAAGATATTTAGTTAATTTAAAGTTAATAATATTTAATATAAACTATAATAATATTATAATTAATAATATTAAAAGATTTTTATTTTTTATAAAGTCTTATTATTGAAAATATTAATAAAATAAAAGCCTACTTATTTTTAATAATATTTATATAAATATTTTTTAATATATTAAATACTTTTAATTCTAGATATAATTTTTAGTAGTTAGATTTTTTATATTTAATTTTTTTTATGATAATTATAGATTCAGTTCTTACAAATTTTCTATAGAATTTTTTTTGAATTATATTTTTTAGACTGGTTGTTTTTATTTTATTTATTTTTAGATTTAGAATTATTTAACTTTTAATATTTAAATATTTTTATAAAATTAGTTTTACTAGAATTAAACTAGGCTTATATCTCTTTTTATACTAATATCTATATAATTTAGTTTTAAGTTATATTTTTTTATATTTAAAGTTAAAATAAAAAGTTAAAAAGATTAATTATTATTTATCAAGATTATAAAAAAAACTAAATATAAATATTATTATTAAGTTTCTTATTATTAGTAAGATTATATTAAATTTTCATAAATAATATCATATAAATAATTCTAATAGTCTTTTTATTTTTAACTTTTTATATTACTAATTATTTTTTAAAATATTTTAAAATCTTTTTATTAACTATAAAATCGATAGTAGCCGTGCCAGAAATAATAAGTTTAAAAATATTTTAAATAATATATAAAAAATTAAATAATTTATTTTTACTAGCAGGCTGAGTAAAAGAAGAAAAAAATTAAATAAATTTTATATTAATATTAAAAATTATTTTCTAAAGATTCTATAAGCAGAAATATATTTTTAAAATTTTATATTAAATCTAATAGTTGGCCGCACCGATTAAAACCGAAAACTTAATAATATTAATTATTTATTATATTATTATTAATTAGTAAAAATATTTTTTAACTACTTAATTAATTAGTAGATTAAAATATTTAATATAGTTTAGTATTTTTAGCAGACGGTATAGTTAGTAGAAAGATATTTTTAATATTTAATATTAAAAAATAAAAAAAATAATAAAAATTAATTAAATAAAAATTTTAAGCTTAAACCGGGCTTATAATCTGATAATTATAAATATAATACTAATAGATTTATTTACTTAAAGAAAAAAGCTTAATACCTCGATAATTGTTAGATTATTAAAAAAGAAGAAGTTATCTACAGATTCTATAGTATTTATATATATCCAGTTTAATTTGAAATCATGTGACTTGTTGAAGCGAGGCGTTACACGCACACGCCGATAGAAGGTCGCCCGAGGCGGCGGGAGGGAGGCGGTCCATGGTGGCAGAAATCCGGGCTGCAACAATAATATTCTTGTATATATATATAAAAAATATTTAATAAGAAAGAATTAATCGGACTTATAGATATTTGAATAGTTATATAAAGCTTTAAGTATTTATATTTTTTGTATATAAATCAAAATTCTGATATAGGCAGTATACAGAGATGTATGCTAAGCCGGCTCGCTTACCAAATACGTTACTATCCATGATATAAGTACTTAACTAGCTGAGTATTACTGTACAATCATCCATCCAAATACTGAGATATATCTATTTATCCCCTGGGAGATCCAAGAGCGATTTGATCACTGTGATACTGATAAATTTACAACCAACCACCTACAGTAAAAGATCCTTCCCCCTCTACAATGTACAATGACAATGTCGACATATTCGGACTCGAGAAGTGGGCGTGGTGTACAACAGAGGTGTAAAGGACCGCTTGCAGGTTCCCATCATGAAGCAGTCCCCTATCAGCTTTCGTTCTGCCTGCGTGCCTGCGTGCCTGCGATGCTTTGACTCATTCTGCGGGGCATAAGTTGATCCGCTCACTTGTATATTTATTCTTCCATTATCCAACTCTGTTGTTTTCTTTCTGTCCCCTGACACTTCGACAATCGATCTACTCCCTCACTGTTGGGCATTAGAATGAAATAACTGTACGAGTTTCCATCCCACCCCCGGTTCGATCTCGGTTCCATCACGGGCTATCTTGACTTCTCGATTCGCATTCCACGGATTCCGCAATCCCCTGGTAAGGTGAAATGGAACCCGGGTGCCCGATAGCCATCGTATCCTGAATGGTTTTCCGATCAACTGTGGGCTCGGCCCACTGGCATCCTCCGTCTGTGTACCTGCTCTGTCGGCTTTCATGTCGCCCTCATCCTCGGATGACTCCGCCTCCCAGAATATAGTCCCTCGTATAGAGTCATTGATGACTCGTCCTTTGGCGGCAGTCGACGTTGCTGGTGTAGGAGTAATGTCTGGTTCTTCTAGATTCGGCATGTTATTGGGTCGCGGTGGTACCTCTATTGCCAAGCGCTCATCGTCCTGTATGGGTGACATCATACGAGCGTATCCGTAGTATTCACCAGACTTATTAGCAGAGAAGATCAGGTAAACATCATCTGCGTTCTAATCGAGGTCGTCAGACAAATATCGATTTGGGAATATTCCTGCCCCAACTCTCTCCCTTGGTTCGGTAATGTTCTCACCTCATATGCTTGATTCAATTGATCCTCATTGTGAGTTTGTGTAGCCCAGATGTTGGTTTGTCGACTGTGTTCCAAATCCTCCACGGTCAAGCTCTTGACAACGAAGTATCTGCTCGTCATCCGGGCACTTGAGCGTCTGTTATATCCTTTCCGGTATGCAACCGACTCCGTATCATCGTTAATCATCAATTGCTTGCTATCGCTCTGGTCTTGAGATGGCGAGGGTGTAGCAGACCCTATGGCTTCGTGACTCGCGCTGGCTAGTATGGTTCCGTGCCGCAGTCGGCAAACAAGGCGTGCGCCATGGAACCTAGAATCATTGAATCTTGACAGAGCAGCAGCGCACGCAGCGGCGGTTTTGTAATTGATAAAGGCACAATTACTCTTGGAGATAAGAAAGACGCTTACCAGCTCCTCCGTAGCCTCCTGCGAGAAGTGATCTTTCAAGTCAATAATATTGGTTGCGGGAGGCAGATTGCCAACCCACAAAGCATGACCCGACTGCTTGGGCTTCCTTAAAGGTCCACGCAACGTGTTTGGCCCGGGCGACTGGGACGAACGCGAGGCTGCATCTGCTAGGATTAGCCTTCGCTATACCACTTGATTATGTTTAGTCTGGCATGGAGTGTTGCTGCCAACCTACCGGTCGAGGAGTGATGGGAACGCATAGACGTGGAACCGTCCACTATTGTTTTCGAGACGTCATAGTCCGTGTTGCTGTGTCTGCTTTCCCTATCCAAATCGGTGGCCGTCTTGACAATATGACCGCGCAGTGGCCAGTGATTGGAAACCGACATACTTGGCGGCGCGGGACTAGGTTTAGGTGCCGTTGCGCTCGAGGTCTGCGAATAATATCCCTGGGAATACGGTGCCTGATTGGGGGTATGGACATTAAAGTGGCTTGACGAGTTAGGTGCCAACGGCTGGTACCCGGGAGTGCTATGTTGGACATGCGGGTCCTGCTGCTGGTGCTGCTGAACATACGGCGCATAAAATGGGAACGGGGCACCGAATGCCATGTTCGCATTCATTGTCGCTGGAGCATAGGATGACAATGCATGTATAGGGTAAACAACCCCGTGAGGAAGGGCCGTGGGGATGAATTGTTGTTGCATAGGATGTTGCTCGTAAAGAATAGGGTGAAGTTGGTAAGCTGGTAGAACTGATCTCGAACCACTTATATTCGAATCCGAGTGTAAATTCTCGGGTGCACAGAAGGATGCGTAGGCATGCCCATCAGAATGCGAATGTTTATTATCAGTCTGAGCAGCCTGGCTGAAGCGGGATGAACCTGACGAGGCGGTCAATCTAAAATCCTAAGAAGATCCAATGCTTGCTGTTTGCTCTCTCCGATTTCATATCCTTACTCTTTCCCCTTCTGACTCATTAAGAAAAAGTGGACGACAGAACTTGAGACAGACTTACCCGGTGGTCGATAAGCAATTTCTGCTTCGCTGCCTTTTCCCGAAGATGCCGGTGGTTTAGTGCCATCTGCGACTTCCAGTGTGGCGTTTGGCTGGGCCATTGGAGCGCAATCACTTGAGTTAGGCATGGTAGAATAATACAAGCTGAGAATGACCACCGGAACGGCAAATCTCACTGTATGAGTATGATCTCTATGCATTAGAGAGGGGTGGTCGGTAAAGGCAAAGGGCACTCTGTCACATACCTTCCCCAGGACCTGTAAGCTACCAACACGTCTTACGGGCTTGCTCAAGGGTTGCTTGATGACCGACAAGAGGCTTTTCTGTGTCATTAAAGCCGGTTAGAATTTTTAAAACGAGTCTTGACATACACAAATCTTCAGACGCGTAAACTTCTGGGAGGCACAGATGAGTTGGGTAGCGGGGAGGAAACAGACGGACATATGTAACTATCCGCGCAACAACAGAACAACTTTCAATGAATACCAAGCTAGGAAATCTCTAACTCTGGCTTAGAAGGAGGGCATGCACATTAGTGTAGTGGTTAGTGGGAAGGCTACCATAACACAATGTTGAAAGGAATAGATCCAGCCCACGCACGCACACACACACGCACCAAAAATTTGTGCCAATAATAGGCATTCGATGCCGGGCTCAGTGAGGAAATTGAGAGGAGGTGGGGGATGGAAAAGAAAAAAAGATGTAAGTTACTCCGAATACTTGGACGCCGACAGATTTTTTGCGGAAGAAAAAGAGTGGCCCGATCTGCCACATGGGCGTAATACCCTGAAAGAGGACACTCCAGCTGTATGACCAAACGACAAGGAGCCACAGAGCCACATTGTCAAAAGTCATGCACGAATCTCAGAGCAGCCTCACAAGTAGGGTGGAGAACAGACTAAGCGTCGAGGTGGAAGTAGTAAGAGATGGGTCAGGTAGGGTATGAGGAACCTGCAAGATTGGAGGCCATCTCATAGGCGGAAGTAGGGGGAATAGAAAATGGGGTATAGGTGAACGACCATAAAGGGAGGAAAGAAAAGGGTAAGGCGAGTAGACGGCAGGCACTTGCAAGAAGTTGGCCTCCCACATTCAGTAGAGTAGGCTACATCTCTGCCCGAAGGGGGGGGGGGGGTAAATGTTGCCGTGGACACTGGACAGGCAGAGGGCACCAGCCCGTAGTTTAGTGACTACCTTGTATCATGCCAAAGCAGAAGATTCGTTGCTTCCCACGAAGATCAAAGAAAGTAGAGTATGTGGTGGCCCACAAATATGTTCAGGACCGCAGCCACCAAGGTCATCTTTGTTGAGATCATTCCATCCCCCAAGCTCCAGCTAGAACTGGAGCTGGAACGGGTCGTAACTCAAAAGGTGGAAGAAGCGGCGGATGGTTTGAGGCTCATCAGGATTGACTGGCTGACGCGCAAATGCCGCCGGTCCTGATTGGGAAGCGGGAAAGGGGAGGGATTTCAATTGAAAACGCGGCCAAAGGACGGGGAAGGGGAAGCAGCCCAACACTAAAGAGGGAGGGGAAAGGAAAGAATCCAGAACCAGAACAATTCACATCTGGAGATCATCCGCTTAAAACCTCCAGCAAACCGAGCCCCGAGATAAAGAGTAAAGACAACAGCAGGAGTCAAGTGAACGTACTCTTGGTGGAGAATAGTGAGGGGAAGGAAAGGTGCGAAGCCGAAAGGGTGTGTGCAGCTAACAGCGTGAAGAAACGATAAAAAAGTGTATCTTCCGGTGTTAAGCACTGGATTGTCTGATACTGGACAGTAACAAGAAGAGAAACGACGGTACTTGCCATTGAACAGTTGGCAGGCTCGGTGTCGGTGAACGGAAGAAATAATCACGATCATCAAGAAGAGCCCTTGTGTAGACACAGTGTAGCCCAAAGACCGAAGCGGAGACTAGGTATGGAGAAGGAATGGCCTTCAAACCAACCAGGTTAGCAGAGCCCTGGGCAATCTAACGGATCTTCTGACCGTCAGAGCTCGGAAGGGCAACTCCTGCACAGGGCAGGTGGGTAATGCACTTCCGAACGGAAATGAAGCAAAGGACGGGGGCCTGTGTATATAGCGGCGAGGGTCTTTTCTCTCCCTCTGCCTTAAAGTGGCGCCCCCGGGGGCCGCGACAACGACAAGAGGGGACCGATGAGCCGGACTCTCTCGCCCTCCACTCGGTCAGTCTTCTCCTTAAGTGAGGTGAGTGAGTGAATGAACGGGATGTTTCCTTCTCGCCCTTCCCTCTTGGGATTTGGTGGCTGTGGCTGCCTCCAGTCTAAGGGGGATATCCACAGTTTAAAACCGGGTGCTTCGATTCGGATCGGGCCTTGCTTCAACGTTTTAGCAATTCATGAGCGAGACCCAATCAGCTCTCACAGAGGATCGACAAGCTCGATCCTAATACTGAGCACGGCAGGTTTGACTGACACGAAATGTTGCTTCTTATCCCTCAGTAGACAGCGGTGTTGAAGGAGTAGAAGAGTGTCACCAATTCCGTGACTTACAGAATTCAAACGAGAGAAAACATGAGCAGCAAGATCTAATCCCTTTCGTATTTACGGATGCGGTTTACAGGCTGGGCTGTTTCTTGCCTGCCTGGCTGTCTGTCTGCGCCCTTTTCGCACCGTGTCTTGCGAAGAATGATCGAAACCGAATTGTATAGCGTTGCGGCAGACGTCGATCGAACATAGGAAAATATATAGCAAGGAACTAAAAAGAAGAATCGTGAAAGCGGGAGAACAGAGTGGAGGGTTCGGACACCGCCAGGCTTGAGGGTCGCAGGCCGTCCGAGAGATGGGAGACAACTCGTTCAATAATCTTCCAAGCCATTATAAAAGACCAGGATGTCAGAACCGAATCGGCCACATCCGACGTTCCGTGGGTTGTTGGAGGACAAGAATAGATAGTCTAGGATCAGCCAGGTACGTAGTGGCTGGGAGGACTTTGGCATCGATAGCATCGATGGCTTCTCCAACTGTTCGTGATTGGGTACCGCTGTTATGTCCCTGACCCAGTCAGACAATTCGATGGGATTTTTTCCCTGCCTCATGACAGCTTGAAGCAGGGCTCGCTCTATTTCCGAGGATTCCATGAGCAATCGAACCCACCCAGGGGGGTCATTTCATCGATCGAGGACCGTCGTTCCATGAAGGTGGCAAATCAGGAGTGCGCTCTATACGCATTGATCAGGGCTTTGAATGGGTCCCCAACCCGAGGCGTATGCGTGGCACTGAACCACAAGGGATTGACAGCTGCAGGCAGTTTTTATATCTCCATAGTGAAGGTGATCTACACAGTAACCCAATCCGGTGAGCATAAGTCATGACCTCGGAGTAAGGTCAATGGGGAGAAAATCAGGATGATAATGATGATAATGATGATTATAATAATATTGCGGCGTTGCCGGATTGATGAGCGCGATGATCTTCGCGTAATTATGGGTATATGCTCGCAGATGAGTAGTGAGTCGAGTATCATTTGCCCTTATAATGTCGGCATGGAGCATGGTCACAATCGGGTTCGAGTGTGAGGTCGATCGTTTTTGCCGAAAAGGAAAGAAGGTATTTCTTTCCGCTTTGCGCTCTTGCTCTACCCGCTCCCTCCTTTCCCTTTCCCCGCCTCCCTTCTCTCGTGTCCTAATTTACCATCCTTCCCCCCGGCGCGTCTTCTATGAAAAGGACCGCCAACCGACAGGCTAGTTTGCCACCGACGTTAAAAGAAAGCCGCCGTAAAGTGTGAAATGGGGCCTGGGTGACGAGGTAACAGTGTATCGGGTTTTTAGGGCCTAGAGATTCCTTTTTTTGCATACCCGTTTAGGTTGATCTTATGAAACACATTTTCATAATCCAAGGCAGACATTCCTTCTGGTTAATCACGAACGTTCCAGCTTGGAACGGAGAGATCTGGTACAAGTTATTCAGACCTCTAAACGGGGGGCATGAAAAAAAAAGCGAGGGTGGAGATCTCGCCAGAGTTCGATAACTGCGATTCGATAGTGCAGAGATGTTTGACCCATTGAGATTTCAGACTGGAAAAAACTCCAAACGATGAGTTCCAGTTAGTAATTGAGCGAGCAATTCCGTCGTCTCCGTGCTACGAGTAGGATGGATGGATCTGGACTCCCGCCGCCGCCGGATTACATGCAGCAATTGGCGAAGGAGCTCATCGGGTCAAATTCAAAGTCTAGATGTTACCGCGCCGGAGACAAGTTATCAGGTTCAAGCTAGTTGAGTGGAGAGAGCATCAGGGCTATGGAGTTTCAACGATTGCATGATTGCCGGAGAAAGGGGCGGAGAGGAGACACAGAAAATTCGTGCAGCTACCCATTAGTGCCAGTACATTAAAATTGTAGTTCAGGTTGACGTTCGCTACGGGAAGGATGGATAAGTGGGGGAGGAGGAAACTGCGGAATTGACTAACAGACAGCTAGCAGTCTACGAGGGGAGTATAGTAAGTTAGGTACCTACCTACACTGTACCTACTCCCTAGTCTAGAGCGGGTGGTGGTCCCAGTGCATTCCCACTAGGGCCCGATCATTCTCCAACTGGAAACCCAGCTCAGGACACAAAATACCTGTAGTTACTTGAATCCGTTATCCGGTAGGCTTCATGCAGCAGCACTTCTACTAGGACAATAAGTAGATACTGTTAGATTTATATTTAAATGACGGGTGTGCCTTTCTTCGCAGGCATACACCCTCAACACACAAACAGAATTTTCAAAAGATCTTGGTGTATTACTTCCAATCCAAGTATCAGAGCGATAGATAGTCCATGTGGGAGTAGTGGCTGGCAACTGATTTAATGAGTTGAAAACCGCTGGTACTCAGTGCACAGTAGTACAGTAGAGCACATGTGCAGGTCACTTAGTGACCTAAGCCGCTAACTTACCACTAAAATACGGACCGAGAGGCACGCCAACAAAACTGGAACCTAACCTTACCGCGGTCCGTGGATTCTGAGAGACTAGCAATGGATGAGGAGGATCCACAGGCCACTTGAGCACCGGATGCAATGCCAGCCAATCAATCTTGGACCACTTCAACCTCATCCCATTCTTTTCCGGCAATACTTTCGACCAATCCCTAATCTTCACGATTAGTGTGGCTGATCCCCACTTCGTGCTGTGAGATTGTAGGTACTGTACCTAGAAGTACGTGGTCATACTCATGTAGGTAGGTAGATCATGGATACCTTTGCTACCTTACCGTTGGAGGAAATTGTCTATCTGCCTTCCAAACGAGTACCTTACAGAGTACCTAGTAAGTGCACTTCACTTCAAACTTCACTCCAATGTTGGAAAGTTACAGTAGTAGTGTTGCTATGGCATGTTCTTCCACCGCCCCTCATCCCCCCCCCCACACCCTTGCATCTAGTATTTCCGAGATGATTGCTTTCTCCCCTCTCGAAAAAAAAGACTAAAACAAAATAAAAAAAGAAAATAAAAAAAAACCTTCGAGTTGCGTTGAATCTTCGTGTTTTCGAGAACAGTGGGCACTGGGCCCAATGATCACTGATGAATTTCTCGACTTCCCTCGCCTCGCGCACTCTTACTCACTAAAATCTTCTGTTGCTTTTTTCTGTGTGTGAATTCATTCATCTCTCTTACTCATACCGTCGAAACAAGAGTCTTGTCTCCAGGGCTCCCCCGCCTCCTACTGCGTGTGCTTTCTGCTGATGTGGAAGGCTTATCTGCCCTCAATTGAGGAATGCAAGTATACCATTCGCGAATGCGGTGTAGGCGCAGTGGTCATTCTAATCACTTGAGTATAGTGGGCCATTGTTGCAGAAGCTGCTGACACTTGTCTGCCTGAGCGATACTGGAGCGGTTATGTGCAGGAGATTCAGCCCCCTTTACTGATTCATCTGAAAGTCTACAGATAACGAACGCCCTTGTATTTGGCCTCTATGAAAGAAGGACCCGCCCCCATCTCCACTCAGGTGACCTTCATGCGCTGCAAGTTGCGTGGGCAGCAATGGTGACGGCGTATGAATTAAAATCCACGACGGCTTGATAGAGCAGGCAGCAAGCCACAAATAGCGAGGTCTTATAAGGCCATTCTATGTATGTGCTGCTGCACTTCATGTGGATCGTGACTGCACTGAGAGAGACCAGATGCACCGGACACATTTGAATGTCCCTCTATTCAACCATCAATGTCCTAACGAAGCACTGGATCAGGGCGAGAATCTGGACCATCCCGTTGTAGGGTAGACTGCTTGCGGTAATCAACATGGCCCGAGGTATGTACTCATGATGGAATGACCTTTTTGGCGTGCTATAAAATCCGATGAGGCCTTTGCCACTCGACAAACCAGACACGAGTCGTTAGCGAACGCGCAACCTATATCTGCCGATAGAAGCCTCTACTCATTTGCTCCGTAAGGGACAGACTACAGAAGCGGGTGGGAGGTAATCAGCGCCAACTGAGGCGCAACCAGCTTCCAATGCCCACTCGGTAAGTCAACAGATGCGAATCAATCATGAGTAGCACTCATAAATTAGGTTAGGTTATGAGGACAGTACAGTGTACAGTATGAGGATGCTTGCCAATCTGCCCAGTGATCATGTAAGCGGACAGGCTTTCAAAATGAGAATCCTATCTAACACACCGCCTTCCTCATCGCCACTTGCCTTTTCTGCCACATGACGTCATGCACTATCAACACTGCGAGACCACTGCGAGAATTTGCGAGAATCTACGAGAAAATGACACACTGGTCCCTTGCGGTCCGTACTGCACAGAGGCGAGACATTGTGGAAGGAACTATGTGATTTGGACCAACCCGAATTAAAGCTGCCTACAGGGGCTTGCATATGTCGAGGTTGGCAGCTTCACAACCGATCTTTACAAGGCGATACGCGAGTACTACACATGCAACCTTGCAGTGGTCCACCCAGTTCGAGTCTGTCTTCAGGCTGACCAGCAAACGCAGTGACACCATACTTCCAAGAACATATATGCACATTCTGATCGGCCATTCAAGTGAGGAACGCTTGGCTGACCAGTGTGGCGCCCTTGACATGCTCATGTGCCGATTACTTCACCCTCCTTTGGCCATGAGAGTACCACTACAACACCACCACCGTCATTACCTGGTGCCCCTGGGCCCCCTGATAGGTGTTTAACTCCCGACTGGCCATCCTGCTTCAGCCATTTAGCCCGTCGTATTGCCAGGTAGTCTCCACTTCATCCACACCAGGAGGCTAGCATGTAGGGCGATGCTATTGTGGCTTATATAGAGTCGTTCGATGCATCCAATGATAATTGTTTCGTATGCATGCATCGAGACGCAGTCAACAGCGGGGAGGGACAAGAGACGGCGCTGGGTTTCGCCCCTTAACCTACATGGGTGACAAGAAAGGACTAACTCATAAATACATTAACTTGTGGCGAAGGCTGTTGCGCAGATCATGACCTCTAGCACACTGTATCCATGCTCATTTTGATGGCGGTCTCTGGCGAACCTGCACCATAGTTTCAAAACACAGCCTTGGTCGGCCAATGTGTCTTGGAAGGGGTCATTGCCCGTAATCAAAGTCTTTCATGCACCGCTGATCTCTCTTGGACGAGAAAAAATTCGTGTTCTCTTGCCACATCGTAAGTATCTCGGACTATTGCTGTCCGCCGCCGAACAGAAGAAATTGAGTTTACCAGAGTCATTTGCCATCTGGACAGTTTAGTCGAATTTCTTAACGTGTAAAAGAATCATGTCTACGGCGGGCCGATCTGCTACAGCTGATGCGACCTACCGTAATCTCATCAAGAACACTTGGCAGCACGTACCAAGACCACAACAGTGTGAGAATTGGCCAAGATTGGAACTGTGGGATTTACGATTCTCCCAGGAATTGGGATCCAGCAGTGCGAAGGCGGAAGAAGACAAAAGTATGGAAAGGGTAGCAGCGGGTGACTAATCAAGAAAGCAAAGAGCTGGACTGAGTTTGTATGAAGGTGATATCAACAAGAATTTGTGACAATGGCGTTAGTGGTCTTGGCAGTAACATAACAGTCATTCTCTCAGTTAGACATCGAGACTGTAGATATATGGCCCTAGGTCTCGGCATAACATCATGTCTACTGGAGCCTCGTTATGATTAGGATTAAGAGAAGGATATAGAACATAAAACACAGAGACGAAATATAGGAGGAGGAAGACGGAAGAGGCAGAGGAGAAATGATTATCGGTCTATACCAAGTGAGGCAACTTTTCCAGCAAACCTAGCACCAGCACTACCTCTTTTGTGCAACTTCTCACGCTCCCTACTGTCGAGTGAGCTCGGAGCCTGTGTGGGCGATACCACGCTGTTATCGGTGCCCGGGCCTCGCATCGTTGGTGGTGAACCTGAGATTTCAGCTGTACTCTTCCCAGTCGGAGGAGCGGAAGGAGTACTGATACAAGTGGGCACTCTTGCGGTCCTCTGACTTAAATATAGTTGGGCAGCTGGCGAAAGGGGAATAGGCGGAGGCTGCAGAGGAATCTCGGCCCCGTTCTGAACGAGGATCTCTGCAATCGGGAAAGGAATCGCTTTTACAGGAGGACCTGCAGGTGACCTGGTTGACAGACTAGAGGTCGACCCCGGTGATGCAGGATCAGCTGCGGCTAGGGCGAGAAACACGGCATGAGTATTGCGAGAACGGTCGGTGATGTTGACATTGGCGCGAAGCGCGATTCCATAAAGTACGCCTTGGATGTCATTTCTTTTGATTGCAGCAAGAAGAGTCTCGTCCGCTGTAGCAAAGCGGGATAAGGGGGAGGGTAGCGCCTGGACAAATGCTCGTTCACTATACTTGGCCGTGATGAACTTCAACCTTTGCTCCCTTGTGGAAGTGGCGATTGGCTTGTGTAACTGGTCAAGTGTTGCCTCCCAAATCATGTTGCTGACACGGTTGCCGACCTGCAGGAGGATCTCAACGATGTCGTTTGAGAAAGAGTGCACATCCAGTGTCAAAGATCGTATCTTGGAGATATGTGTCCCAAGTGATCGATGAATGCCACTGCATTCGATGCACAAGACGATCCCCAGATTGATAGACACCCATTCAACCTTAGACGTAGAGCCGCAATCAGCACACCAATTGTTGCCTTGATCCGCATCGCGGACTGTTTGGAGTAACTTGGAAGGATTCTCCTCAAAGCCATGATTATCGCGAACGTAGCTTGGTCTTGCACCTACAGTGGTGCGACGAGTGACATTGTTATTAGAGCCAGTTGATTGGGAGTGTTGAACAGAATATGAGGTGGTCTTTCCGGTCAGCACAGATCCGATATCACGACTGAAAGAGGCACCATCATTGTCCGTGGCGATTGGTGGTGGTGACATGCCGCGACCCTCTACAGCACTCTGCAGAGCATTGTTGATTGCTCTTATCCAGTTGGACATATCCTCCTCGGAGGTTGCCTGGTAAATGCGTTTGTACTGTGGAGTAATGACTTCGAAGCAAAATCGCCGCTCGGCGTTTCGGGCTTCTCGGACGGATGCCATTCTCAGATCGATGGGATCCATGTGAAGATCAAGCTTCTGTTTCCAATTGCTGTATTCGGAAAGTTTTCCCTGATCTAAGACAATCCAGAATCTGTATGTGGTTAGTTTAAGACAAACTGAAGAGGTGGGTGAATTCACTTGTGCCAGGCTTGTTTGTTGATGCCTTTGGGATCAATATGAGAGCCTGGGCGAGACAGCGCCCACAGAAGACCTTCCTTCCTCTGTTGGCCTGCATTTTTATCAGTACGGTTGAGAGTGGGGCGCGAGTCAAATCTTAGACAGCGCCATAATGACGACTGGAATCGTTGAAAACTGGGCGTGAACATACCATTTGAGCCCGCCGTCGACGCAAGGATGGACAACGCGGCCGCCGGAGTACTGGACGAGTTTGCTTGCGGTAGAATTGATGAGTTGTTGCTAGCCACACTTCGTAATTGGGAACCGGTGCTATCTGCACGGCCTAGATCACTTTCCAATTTCTGAGTTCCATTGGTACTCCCTGAAAATGTAGACGGGGCGCTCGTTGAGATTAGAGAGTCGGGTTCGAGAAAGGTGTTGCTGCTCTTTTCCAGTGCTCTCCGCTTTTCTTCCCTCTCCGTTCGTTGGAACTGGAATTCCTTGTCCGCCTGCCCAACCTCATGTATCAAAGCATCCAACTGAGGAACCATATCGTCAACCTTTTTGGCGGCCGCAAGGAAACTCTTCGCCTGGGTATCAGCATACTTAGTCAGGTGAGAGAGAACCTCCTGCTCCTTGCGACCCCCGTGCAGGTCCTGCATGAACGAGGAGTAATCAAAACGCTTTAATTCGAAATTGCGCCGCTTAGCCTGATACTTCGAGTCACTCTCCGCTCGTTTTTTTTCCTTCAAAGAATCCTGTCGCTGGCCAAGATAGCGACTGACATAGGCATAATAATCCCTACTCTCCTCTTCAAACTCTTTTTTCTTGGCCTCGGCTTGTTTAATATCGTTATTGTAGAGTTTGACCAATGGCTCAATAACGAGTTTTTGAAGTTGTGTCGTATTTAGTCGCTCATAATTCAGTATCTGGCGTGCTGTCTTTTCGAAATAATGGTCAAGTGCAGGCTGGATCGCATTGGCATTGGATGTAGAAGCTTCGTTCAATGCGGAAAGAAATGCTTCTACAGCATCGTTGCAGGCCACTTGTGCTTGCTGGGCGGCCTCAGCCTTTTTGAGGACTTTCTTAATCTTCGCTCGCATATTCCCTGTCTTTTGCTCCAATGCTTTCATCGTCGCACGAAATAACGGGCCATCCTCGACCACACTCATGTCCTCTCCAGGGCGCGAATGAGGAAGATCGACCTTGACAGGAAGGGGGGGTGCATACCCAGGGGGGGGCACGAAGGCCGTGTCGCCAGCTTCTGGAGGTGTGACGGGCACAGCATGAGGGTTAGATGCTGTATCTGCATCACTGGAGTGCGAGACGATGGATTGTGATGAAGGAATACGATTCCGAAAAGGGACAGGGATTTCTAGGCTTGGTGACAAGACCTGAGGACTGGGGAGAGCACGCTGAGTGCTGTGCACCCAAAACGAGAAATGAGCAAGGGTATTCAACCGATTGGCTCTCTGGTCGTAGTCAAGGAAACTGCAGCTGTTTCTCCAACCACCCCCTTTATCCTCTATGACCTTGGGCGGTTTCCATTTCCACGACCATTCAAATTGCACCGAAGGATTGCCCGAAGTCGAATAATCCCCAACCAGCTGCACATTAGAATTGTTCTGGAGGTTCGGATTGGCGTGAAACTCGCGAGTGATAAGATTGTCCAGGTCTCTAGTGTTGGGCGCATGCGCGAAAGTGAGGCCCGTTAGAACGGTGTCGGCTACTTCAGGCAGAGAGGTAGAGACCCCATTGACAGTGGCATTGGCGGCGTTTCCCGTCTGGGTTTGTCTCAGGATAAAGGTAAAATTGAAATTCAGCTCGTCTTCGTTGGTCAAGCGCAAGAGAAATGTGGGCACGGGTGCAGATGGCGAAAGATCAGGGTCCTGTCCACCGGTGAACGAAGCAGTTAGCTACTGGTGTTTATCCCCCCCAAAAAACCCAAGCATTTACCGCCACGATATAGCCGGCGTTCTCGATTTACCTGTATGTATTCGATCGGGCTCTCATCGCCAATTTCGCGCCTAGCGGTGTATCTGGTAGCAGGAAAGGAGTTGGGAACGAGATGTAGGAGCACTCGGCGCCTAGAATTGGTTATCGTTACAGCAGCAATCGTGACTAGACGGGTCCAAATGAGCCACAAAATCTGTTGCATCCTTAATTAAAGAGGGGCGTACATTTGGCCTGGTCTTTGAAATACAGGCTCCCGGAGTCATCCAGGCGGCTTCCGACATTGCCCATAGTGAAGTGGCTGGAGGTATCGAATCACCGTCGGAAGAGCAAAGACCGGAGAAGTGACCGGAGGGACTAGGAGGGGGCATCGACAGTCTGCGGTCCCGTAGCCGGATGTTGCGCCAGACTAAGGCTAAGGCGAAAAAGAATGAGATTATCGAGAGAATGGCTCGTCATTCAGATAATTGATGGGTCACTAAATTATTTGCGACCAAACTTGCTCGCTGCGAGACGATTGTGCACCGTGTGCTGAAAGTCACGAAAATCGCGTGCGCGCGGAGGAAGGATCGCTCCGGCGATGGTAACTGAGAGGAAGGAGCAGAATCTGCTCTTCTGAGTTCAAGTATAATAAGCCAGGAGGAGGTGTTGTCCGAAGTTCGCGGGGAGGAGGCGAAGGGAGGGAGGAGGGGAAGAGGGGTGAGGGCAAAGGATAAGAGAAGTGGAAATGGAGCACGCCCAGAATGACAGACAGATCAAAACCAATTAATAGCCCTTCAGAAACTGCAGAGGATGCGACAAACGAGAACCCCGAGGAACAGATATGGAATCTGGCCTTTGAAGTTGTTTGCGATCTGAGAGTGGGTGAGAAAGAAAGAGGGACGGAGAGGGTAGGTAAGTAGCCAGGGCGAAGCAGTCAGACCCGCCGGGGGCTAAGACAAAATCGGGTAAGATGCTCATTTCTCTGCCGGCTGACCTGCGACAACGAAAAGCCGCTTGTGTTTGTGCCAGTTTTGACAGTTGTTTCCTCTTCTGTTACTCCTTACGGTACGTATCGTCATTTCCTCTGAGGAGGAGGTTTGATCAAGCTACCTATCCATGATCCACCTCCTTCATAATGCCTGTCAACAGCTCTCTGTCAGCTTCTTTCACCCCACAATCTCGTTATTAGAATTCAGTCATATCACAGCCGCCCCAGGGAATTCTCCTGCCCCTCGTGTAAGCATATGTTGCAGTTCGCCGCAATTTCCCTTAATCCGCAGCCTGTCGTCCTGAATGGGTTGCATTGAACGTAATAAGACGCGGGCTCCCTTCCGTGCTCGCAGAGCAGATAGAACGGTGGGTGTTTCACAAAGCAGCTGTCAAGTAGGATCGTATGTCTAGTCATAGTAATAGCGACCTGCGAGAGCTATTTGAGAGACAGTGTAATCAACTTGTCTCCTTCCTGCTTTCTTGTTCTTTTCTTTTGGTGCTCTAGGAACGCCATCAGGACCACACAGCTATTCTGCATGCTACCAACTATTGTCCTTTGAAACAGCCGCGTTCTTGGTTTATTGCATCGAGTCCACAGCATACAACATCTGAGCGACATACTGGCTGCATTCTACTCGTCGAGCGCAAGTTCCATAACCACCAGACAATCAGCTAAAGCAGAGACGACGCCCGGAGATCCCCACAGGCGGGCTGGAATCATGAATGAGGATTGCAGTGGCGCAAGCAGTTGTATTATTAGCTGTTCTGGGCTTAGGACGAAACAATAAAGTCATGAACATTAAGAATTAATCAATGAGCGGGCCTGATAATGAAGGTATAATAGCTAAGCATATCGCTGAGGAAACACGCAAGAGAGCAGAGCGAAGAGCCTATTGAGAGGCGAAATAAGAATATGAGGGCCAAGGGGAACGAAGGGTGGAAGAAAGCTTCGAGGATGTCCAGCAAGTGATCATTGCAAAAGCCCTGTACGAGATAGGTCGACGCAAGCAGGATTCCGGTGTACCTGGACATGAAGGGTCGGGCATTCATAAATCCACGGGACCCCCTTCGAAACCCCTCTGATCTTGTGCGGAATTGCCCGCCTTGAATCTGGAGCCGGCATAGTCATCTCCTTGCGCCCAGTTTATCAAGTGGCCTTTGACATCGCGCATCTCGTGGACCTTATGCGCCAGGTCCCCCCTTGCTCTGCGTGGAGCGTGCGCGTCGCTGCGTTCATTCAGGTCCTCTTCGTCTGAGCTGGAAAGAGAGAATGATGAGCTGTTACTTCGCTGAAGGAAAATCATTTGATTTCCCTCATGCTTTTTGAATTCTCGCTGCTCATTCTTCAATGTTTCCATTTGCGCAGCATCCCCTTTGCAATCAAGTGTGGTTATATGAAGACCTACCAAGTTGGATGAAATGAACTGCTTGAGAAGAGGAAGATACTCGGCATTGGGACGATAGGTGCCGCTATCGTTATCGATGAAAAGCTCGTAGTCAGCTGGATCGGCCGACATTTCCAAGTGATTTTGCGACTCGTCCGCGGAATAATTGCAGGTTTCTGAAGGATGCGGGGTGTCAGGCTGTCGGTGATGGCGATGCTTTCGTCGTCGAAGAAAGAATTCCCCAGAATACGCGATATAGATTGATACATTGCTATGCATGGTGTGCTTGCTCAAGAGATCGATGCCGAATTCCTTTCCCGTCTCCGTGAAGCGAAATTGTCCGTCAAGTGTAATAACGTAGGTGAAGATTCTCCCACCCTGGGCATAGTGAACAAACTCCAGAAACTTCTGAGTAAGTTCAACACACGGCGATGCGAATTGACCGGTAAGAGTTGTCTTGTCGAAGTTGTAGATACGCTCATGTTGATGATGGAGCGCTCGGTTGAGAATCCTTCCACGAAGACTGTGGGACGTGAACATTCCGGCCACAAATGGTTTGAATTCGACATATCGATGATACAGCTCGGCGGGCACAGGGCCTTTGAATTGTATTTGAATAGCTTGAAAGCTAAAATGTGGGCAGTGAGCTTGTTGAAATCGTTGTACCTATACGCTTGGATTGGAACAGGTAGACGTACTTGTATCGACTGATTGTCTTTTGGCCATTCTGGCTCTGAACTTCGTCCTTGGTGCCTGCTAACCTGCCAATAAGGGGAGAGAAATGCTTAAACCAGTAATTCGGCCCAACAGTGTACATATGCGCTCCTTCATCACCGGGCGTCTTGCCTAGGCACTCGATGCTGATCACCAAGTGTGAAGCCACGTCGAGGCGTCGTGAAGCCAAGGCGGCAATGTTGCCGAACAAGTATACTCGTTTGCTCCCCAGTCGCTTCTTGACACGATAAGATTGTTCCTTGATAGTGGGCCAATCTTCATCGATTGAGTCTACTTCAACGTAGGCGTTTCCAAGTTTATCATCATGGTCGGTCGCATCCTCATCGTAAACATTACATTTCAACTGGAAGCCCGATGCCGGAACATTGGCCACAATCCACTCCTTTTCCCAGACCGGATCTCGGTTCTTTCGCACTGTAGGCGTTCGGAACGAGATAACGGGATCTTGCTTGTGACGTTGCGGAAGGTCGACGATTAATTGAGCATGAACATAGGGATCCGAAGAGAAGGTACCAAAATCCGCGCAAGGAAGGTTGACGCCACGATGAAAAGTAAATTTGACGGTATACCCTGGCGGAGCATAAGGATACGGGGTACTATCAAAGCCTCCAGCAGGTTGCGATTGCGAGCGTTCGTCCCCGTGCAAGGTGGCCTTCATGGCAGCCGCTCTGTCTTGCACGTGCTCTGTCTTGTCGAAGAATCTCGGACCATACTTATCTACCGGACGCCGTCGACGTGTCCGCGGTTGCGCTTGTTCCATGGGAGATGGAGGGAAGGAGTTGAAGCTGGACAAAATGAAGTACGATAGCAAGTAATGGGGTAGGGGCCCGCGGGTCCGCCAGTTACCTGCAAGAGTGTGCGGGGATCAGCAAGCAGGCGCAGGATGATGCAGGAGACGTCTGCGGTTCCGTGTTGTCTTTTGATTGTTCTTGCTCTTCCTTTTTTTTGCCCTTCTCTTCTTCTTTCTTATTTCAATCCCTTGTTTTGTGTTTGGATTCCTCTTTTCAAAAGAAGGTGCGGGCGATTAAGAAAGAGATCCGAACCAGAAATAAGAATAATACGTGGTTGGGACTTTATTCAACCACACCTCGGAGTTGCGGGAACTGACATCATGCGGCCCCTCCACGGGAAGAGGGGAGAAATGAGGGAGAGGGAGAGAGGGTGTGGGGGAGATGAGAGAAAGAGGGTGTGTGTGAGAGAGTGAGTGATTGTTGTTGGTCTCGGCAAGGCTTCTTTCCCGTCGATCGTGTCCCCAGGAGGTTTGGACGATGACGGAAGGACGGGACCGAGTCTCCCTGTAGGGCGTAGCGGAGACCACGTTCCACCTAATCAGTTACAGATTTCACAGTACGTAATAGGTAAATAAACAGGTACATCGTCGCTTAACAAGTAAAAGTGCACAGCGCCTAATAATGAGCCTGTCTTATACAGTGTCCACTGTGCACAGTCCCTGATCGATGTACACTTCGGTATTCCAGAGTACCATGCGCCGACGAGACTTGGAATGATATGAGGTAAGAGATTAGGTTTGCATAAGAAGAGAACGAGCGGGAGAGCGATTATTCACAGCAGAGAGGTTGTTCATGTCCCCATGGATGTACAGAATGCAGACTAAATACTCACATTTGCATTTGGTTATCGCAATCGAGTGACGTCATTCTAGGCTGCCGCGTTGAATTCGGTTCTGGTGTATGACCAACCATCCCACGGATAATGATCCAGGCACTTTAGAGTGTCTGGTTGTACTCTTATGTCTCAGTAGAACAAGTGGATCCCCATCTACTGGTAGCACGGGATACCTGGCAGATTTCCCGGCATCAACAATTGCCATGAGATAATGGATAACAGGTCAGGCCCGGACCACCCACGTGTCTTATGCATTTCAAGATCCTCGGAATAAAAATTGCATATCTTCTGGAGTAAGTTTTTCCAGAGCCTCCCCCTGATCCTTGTTAAGGGTGCCATTGATGAGATTGGCCTTCTTCTCCTGTAATAACACAATGCGAGATTCTACTGAATCTTCTATGCAGAGTCGAGTGATGACGCAGGGTCGGCGCTGCCCGATGCGGTGGCAGCGATCCGCACTCTGCCATTCAGCGGCGGGGTTCCACCATCTAGGACCATGAAACATCAGTGGACAAGAAGAAAGATAAGATCCACCGCCTTTGAAAAACTTACGGGTCAATGATAAAGACTCTCGACGCCTCGGTCAAATTCAGTGCTACACCACCTGCTTTGAGTGAGACGAGAAACACCTCGACATCCACGTTGTTCATGAAGTATTCAATCGACTTTTGCCGTTGCGCTGGTGTCATTGTGCCGTCGAGCATGACTGTATTGAAACCGGCTCGGCGTAGGCGCCACTCGACAAGCTGTAGCATGGAGGTGAACTGCGAAAAGACGATTGATTTATGTGTCTGTTTCTTGCTTCGAAGCTTGTACAACTCATAAACCAGCATTTCAATCTTAGTCGACGACGTCCAGTCCTCCATTCGGATGCGATTGATGATAGAGTTCTTCTTGACGTGCTCCTCTTCCTGTTCGATATCGGGCTGCTCGAAGTCGATCGACAAGGGAATGTGACAACGAGGGCAGTCGACCACAGACTTGATTCCAGAGGATTGAACATAGTCTTTGACACATCTGCGGCAAAATTCATGATGACAGCGAGATCTGATTGCTTCCTCTGCAGGTTCATCACATATACTACAGACAAGAACATTCTGTCCGCTCTGAGCATGTTTTTTCAAAATGAGATCGGGATGGTTCGCCACTTGTCGCATCTGCATGATAAGTCCGAAAATATTGGCGTAATTGTTCAGCATGACACCGCGGCTCACGTAGGTATCAAATTGGCGAGTAGAGTTTGTCATGATACTCCTAGAGAAATCACGTTCGATTTCTCCAAAGAATTCATTACGGATGACAACACTGGAGACAAGTCAGCGCAGCTCAATCAACTTGCAGAATGTAACAAACCGTTTGGGTGGAAGCTCCATAGAAGCTGTATGATCTCGCTTGATTCGTCGCAACATGATCCTATCCGTCAAGAGGCGCAATTTTGCCAAAGCTTCCTTTCTAGCATGAGCATTGTCTCTTTCAGTTACTGCTCTCAGTTAGACTAGTCTCAGAAGTGGACGACTTGTGAAGCTCTTACTGGGATTGAGAATCTCCTGGTTGAAAACGGACACGTGACTGAAGCCACTACAGTGGATGTTAACAGTGGAAAACAACACAAAAAGCACTGAAATGAAACTTACCTATGTTTACATGTAGTGCACCGTTTTTCTGCATCCTGTGACCAATGAAGTTGTTGACACTTGCATTGCTTACAGAAATAGCAGGCGAAAGGACGGACTTCCAAGAAACGAAGCAGTGAGAAGAATTCGCCAATCCTATTCTGAACCGGTGTGCCAGAGAGACACCACTTGAACTTGGCTTTTAATGCGAAACAGGCGCGGGCAACACTCGTTGTCCGTTGCTAGTGTTTTGGGTTTAGTATTCGAGCTTCCTAGTCAGGAGCGGACACACCAAGCTTACCTTAATACTGTGCGCTTCGTCCAGGATCAGTCGGTGGTATTTGATGGAATGAATGACGCCTGCGTTGTTGTAAGTATGCATATGAAACACATTGAAATGTGTATCACTTACTGTCCTCCTTCACGATCCCATCATTTCTGTTCCAACCCTTCCACTCTTTGCGATGGATTGACTCAAGGCCAGAATCTGAACAATTGTAAGTCTCAGTTTCATGTTCTAGCTCATCTAATCACCTACAAGAAATCATAATCACATCATATGTTTCCAACTCCTTTTTTGAAAGAGTCTTGACCTTGGGGTTGGAATTATGATAGACAAGAACTTTCAATACACCACTTGTGTACTCCTGAAGAAAAGAAGTCAGCCATGTTGAAACACTGAGAGAAACCGAGAAGCAAACCTTGATCTCGGACTGCCATTGCATCAGAGCAACTGGAGGTACTACCACAAGCGATGGCATTCCGGCCGGGTAATCGGACATAATGAGGGAAACAGCCTGAATTGTTTTACCCATTCCCATCTCATCTCCTAGGAGACCTCCCTTATACTGCGATTGCTCTTGCTGCATCATCCAGTTGAGACCCTCGAGCTGGAATGACTTGAGCGTCCTTGAAATACCACTTGGTTGAGTTGCCGCTACCGGCTTGATTGGAGGCAATTTTGCCAAATCATCCCACATCGTTGTGACGGATGGGTGCTGCTTCTCTAATTTCTTCCGTTCCCTGATAGCCTACAGAGTGATTTAGTGATACGTTTCCAGCAACTTCATTCAAAGAACATACCCGACGTGTCATCCAAACATCCCCTGGGACTGAAGAACTGCTTCGAGCCGATATAGGACCTTGTCGTGGCGTCCTTGAAACTCCAGAATTCCGTACAGCCCTACTTCTGGTTGGCTCCTGTGGCTCGGCATCTTCATCTTCGCTGACCTCGGTCAGAGAATACGAAAACTCGCTGAGATCGGATTCACTTGAGGAGATATCCGTTTGGTCAGTTCTCATCTCGTCACCTGTAGGTTCGTCATCACACAGAGCGTTGCTGATCTGAGCTGATCGAAGCGGCCGTTTTCTGGATGAAAGATGCTGTGCATGGAGACTCTCATTTTCTACTGAGCGTCCCATGTCAGTTGCAGAGGAATCGCTGCCTGAAGTAGAGTGACGTGACGATTTAGGTTGCTTTGGTGACCGCCCTTGAAATTCTTGAGCCTGTAGAGCCTCCGCCAGAGCAGCATCCGTCGTGAAGGTCGTAAAAAACATAGATGCGGCAGGTCTCTTCAACCCTCGGGATGAGTTTAGGGACATAGTGTTTGAATGTAGTTCTCGCGCACGAGCAGAGGCACTAACTCGCTTCTTCGACCCAGATGCATCAGATTCGACTGGTGTAGCTGCAGTGCTGGTCGCTGGCGTACTGTATGTTCGCGTTGAGACCCCGGAAGAACCCTCGTCCAGCAGAGAAGTTTCAGACTCGGATGATGTTGCCGCTTTCCTGGAAGGTATAGCAATTTCGATAGATATCGGCTTCTTCTCTTGATCTCCCATATTCGCTGGAAAAGGGCCGCATCTGTCATTGTTCTCTGCCTGGGAAAAGCTGACTGACGAGGTCAAAGACGTTCGATTCAGCCGCGCAGAAGTGCGTCTGGGAAGGACTGCCACGGGGTCTATACATCACAGGTCAGCTAGTATCGGAGTTGCCATCTCTCATAATATCTCCAAGTTTTGTTCTCAATGTGTTATAACTTATTGCAGGTTGAGCACCCGTGTCATTCAGCATGGGATAAGATAGCAAGTCTTCGCCTTACCAGTATTTGATAACCGCCCTTGCTGCCTGGTAGATGGACTTCTTCCCATTATGCTGATCACTTGGTTGCCTGGTCACTGCACACAAAGAACAGACTGATACCCGTGGGATAGATCTCGTAGTCGGTGGAACGCGGGTATTATCAGTAGTGTAATGTGTGAAGGGATGGATGACCGATAAGAAAGGTGCGGGATCAGGGTCTAGCCGGTGTGAGGTTAGCGGAAAGAGGTAAAGGACAGTCGACAGAGAAAACAGATGAGTCAGAGACAGGTAGAAATGCGACGGAAAAGAGAGAGAAAAAAAAGGGAGAGAGGCAGAGAGGCAAAAGTGAAAGAAAGAGACAAAAGTAAACGCTCCACTTACCAAAGTACGGGTTTTCAGACCTATCTCTTCAAAACTTCAATCCCTTCTCAAGTATTCCTTGATTTGCCACCCCGGAGGCGATAAGCAGCCGCCTTGGTGGACCTCGCGTTAAGTGGAACGCGAAATCAGCACGGAATCCTGTGACCAGCCAGGATCTCTCTTTATAACCCTGCTGATCATTTCTGCTGCAGAAGTTGAGCTTTCCAAAAGTATCTCATATCCCATCCACAGTTTATTTTATTCAACCAAAATGTATGTACCATTACCTTGAGCAAGCCGCTGTGTGTCTCACTGACATGTTGAAGGAGCGAGAGAAGACAGACAAGGAACCAAATCCGAGGCCCGTATGTTCTCAATGACACTTCCCTGATTACCTCTATATCACGACGGACTACTCATAATACATCATAGGCATTCGGCACTTACCGATTTCCTCGCTGTATGTACTGTTCAATTCTAACCTCGCCGTTCACCCAATATGAATGAGTTTCTAATGTTCCATTTTCCAGTCCAACAACATATCCGCGGCTCAAATCCATCAAGACTACCAAAGACGTTTGAGAGATGCAGAACGCCAGGTTGATGAGGATCAAGAAAACTATGATGAAGACTCTGCACATGAGGGCACTAGTGAGTCGCCAGAGCAGCAGAAGAAGCGAAAGCGTAGAGAGATTGTTACTCTGGCCAAAATCAAGCAAAGTAAAGAGTTCGCCCGACGCAAGGCGCGACGAACTGGCGAGCCAGATGATGATGACGATTTCATCGCCCGCGAGATGATGCACGAACGATCGCGTCCGATGCCGGGCCAGCTTGGCAATTGCGAGCTATGCAGTAAACGCTTCACAGTTACTCCATACAGCAAGACAGGACCAAACCACGGTCTTCTTTGTGCTACATGCTCAAAGGCACAAACAGACAGCGAGAGAAAAGCAAAGGCAAAGAAGCGCGGACCAAGAACTAGTCGACGTCAAAATCAGAGCAATCTTCTCGACGGACTTGCTCAACAAGGTGCCCTGAGCTTGGCCGAGATGTGCACGAAGGTACGTTGATCGCCACACATTTGAAGTCGCTGCGCTTTGACCTAATACCATGACTGGTAGAAAGTTGCAGATAATATCAACGATATCGAAGAGTTTGGTGACTTGCCACCACAACTATTGCTTCGTCTGAGTCAGATACTCTCCAAAAGGCGGGTCATGACACCTCGGACTCTCAATCTTTTCCTTCGCCCAGACCTTAACTCTATCGATATTTTCGATGCCGCTAGTACGTTTTCATCTCCAGTTCAGTTCCCTTATCCTCCTGTGGCATTCTCACTCTTTCTATCACACAAACTTTCTGCTCTTCGCTCCATGCTTTCCCCCAATTAATGGGAACTAACAGACGACACTCAGAGCTTGAAACGCAGGACTTTGAGAAGATTTTCGCATTCATGCCTTCTGTGACTCATGTCAACCTTCGCTTTGCAGGTCAATTGAAAGATCAGGTCGTGGGCTACATGTTGAGCCGTGATCTCCAAATAAAGAGCTTACAGTTAGATGCTACCAACTTGGTGTCCGATCCCTCATGGCGGCAGCTGTTCCAAAGGCTAGGACCACAGCTAGAGAGCCTCAAATTGTCCAACCTTGACTGCTCTTTGGATAACGAAACCGTGGAGGCGTTGATCAGCTGCTGTACTGCACTTCGGTGTTTGAAATTGAAACACTGCTGGATGCTTGGGGATCGTTCACTTCAAGCCATTTCTAACCTGACAAGCTTGGTGCATTTGTCTTTACACTTTTACCAGGAAGTGGGGAACGAAACTCTTCTTCAGACCATAAATCAGGTGGGGCCAAGCTTGCAAACATTGTCATTAGAAGGCTTCACTACTGCGGATGACCATCTGCTTGACATGATCCACGCCAAGTGCAGGACATTGACCAAATTACGCTTCTCGAATAACGTCACATGCAGTGACAAGGGATTTGTGCGTCTTTTTTCAGACTGGCAAAATCCTGCTCTAGAGATAGTGGATCTTTCATCAACCCGTGATATCGATAATGCTAACCCAGATGGTCCGGCAGAAGCCACAGGACTTGCATCTCATGGGTTTATTGCACTCATGAATCATTCAGGCTCTATGATTCGCAAGTTGAATATCTCGTCCTGTCGTCACATATCACATGCTGCCTTTGCTGAGGTTTTCTCGGATGGGCGCACATATTCCCGTCTGAGGGAGCTCGACGTATCGTTCCATACGCTTATGGATGATTATCTCGTGGGTCAGATCTTTCGAAGTTGCCCAAATATACAAAAGTTGGTGGCTTTCGCCTGCTTTAACATCCGCCATATCAAGATACCTCCAGGTGTTGCGTTGATAGGTGGCTTGAAGGCACAAGACTCCTTTGTATTGGAGGGAACTTCTCAATCACAATCGATGGTTGTCAATGTCTAACAAGACGGGGACTCCTAAATCAGCTAGGAATGAATTGATGGCTACCAGGGTCAAAAGTATCACGGGTTAATTTCATTTGTTGTTTTCATAACAGACTCTCGAAATCAGGAAATATGGTCAGGTCATTTAATATCATACCTGGCGAGAAGCCTTCTGTGGTTTTTTAAACATGCGCATACCTGAAGTGCCATCGCCTTCATCCCGAGGCTTCTCAGTGCATTGAAAATCTACGTATCGTTTATGAAGCCACTGGTAAAGATACTGGGAGAGATAGGGGAGAGCTGGCTTGTATGCTGACTAATTTGAATGCACTCGGGGATTCTTCCTATTGTGAAAGGATGACGAAAGGGACATGAGCCCCGATAACCAAATTCAACGTCCTGTGTGTTTCATTTTCTGTCATGATCCGTTGATGGTGGGGACTCGAATGAACCTACTATGCTATCACGTGATAACGAGTTTTGGCGGCCAGTAGGTAATGTAAAAGTAGAGTGACTACCACAGAGTAATTGAATTAGGTATGCTGGTCATAAAACCTGAATAGGTGAGAGCTTGTTTGTTGATGTCTACAATGGATATAGTCTGTGCATGAAGACAGGCCATACACATCGAGTCCGCGCATCCATGCTGTAGTTACAACAGAGTGTATACGATACAATTATGGTATCGTAGCCCCCCACAAGCTACGGAGTAGTTGTATGATCATGTGATAAGATAGTACCTCCCGAGTCGACCATTATTGAAGCTTCCTGCTGTGGTCGGTACAGAACCTGGTGCCTCAAGCCTCCAATAAACTCGAATCAATAGCAGCGGGCTTGAGAATCGAACCAGCCAACCTTTCGACGGCCCCTTGCGTTGCCGGACAGTCATAAAGATGGATGATATAACTGCCGTAGTACAGAGTGAGTAATATTGGTGGTACAGTGTGAAGTTGCCGACCAACTCTTCACACTCTTCTTCTATCTGAGGACCTTTTTTGTACTTCTTTCTTCATCCCCGTCGCTACTGCCACACGCTACCTACCGAAGTCTGAATTTACATCACTCCCCTTTTACTCAGTAGGTACCGTATAAGATTGGTTCCGCAGCCGGACTTTTTCCAAACAGGCACCAGGCACAGTCGGGCCGCCCGCCCCCAGCCCCTCTTTGTTTGATTCGCTGTCCATAGAACAGGCTTCTCCTCTGGGAGCTTTCTGCCACACAGAATATTTCACCAACATTCAAACTATGAACAGAATTTGGCTGAGCTGTTCAAGCCTCCTCCATGAGGTAGGACAAGAAGGAGAAAAAGAAGAAGAAGAAGCAGAAAAAGGAGGATTCCCGTCACGGGCGGAAGAAGAAAAGGGTGCTACTATAATTAGCAACATTCGCCCCCCACCTCCCTTCCCTCTCCCCTATGAGGCTTAGATATGAGACTAGAAAAGACGACTACTAATGGTAGTCTAGGTACTAACTTACTGAGTACGTACGTATTTAGTGTTTTGGGTTCCACACCCCACTGGCACATCCAGGGTCTGGTGGATTTCTGATGACAGACAGTGTTGAGGACTCGTGAGATGCAGACTTATTCGAGTAGTCCAGTAACCACCAACCCATTGTCAAGAATGACAAGTCACGAGTTTGAGTCGATTCCTCCTGGCTGAAGTTGTTACTCCATTTTGACTTTGTAAGAGTCCTTAGCACACAACAAATGGACTTCATATTGCAAGGTGAAATCTACTTTGTACTCCGTACTGTACATACGTGCGGATACCTAGTACTCAAAACTCAAGGGGTGCCTAGCTGTCTGGGTTTCGTCTATTTTTGCCGCCCTTATTACATCTGTATTATAACTACGTTTAACATTCCATCCATAATCCATTCCAGTCGAAAATAATAATACGTACCTGAAAAACTGGACTATTCTAGTCTAGCCTATCAAAATGACTAGTTGACCGACCAACTAAGTTAGCAAACTAGGGTTGCGCTCCGAGCTGTCTTTGTCATTTGAATCCATCTCCTTCTTCTCCCCTCATTCTCTCCTGTCCCCTAGGCAGTTTGTTTTCGTTTTGCCTTTCGAGACCCCGTCGCAGAAAACCTAGCGATCGTTCATTGTTCATACGCGCACAACCAACCCCTCCTCTATACCCACAAATGCTGGAAACTCACTTAAGAAGTTAAGTCGCTTAAGAAAATCACTTGAACCAACCAGCCCTTTCCAAGGACCCGCTAGTGGACTGTGAGGGTCCCAGCCGCTGCTGATCGATCATTATACGTATACGCTGTATCAGAAAGAAAGCTCCCTTGGGCCACCTCGCCTCTTCAAACCAGATTCTTCGGAGACCCCTGAGTGAGCTCGAAGCCTCCCAAGCATCCACATCTACCACACACTGATCTGCCTTGACGCTATCTCATTTCCTTCACGTCATCCACTTCTTTGCTTGAAATATCATTCTTCTCGTGAGCAGGCTTCTCTCCGCCCCGCTGCGATCGAAATCTGTGTGGTTTTCAGACAAGGCCCAGAATTATTCCAAGCACACCCAGCACCCTTTTCGAAAAACCACGCCGGTTCTCTCTCCCTCAGCTACGCGGGCCATTCCTCAGTCCAATTTCCCTTCCTCCACCACGCCGGTAATTTTTTATGGGACAACAATAGCGCCAACAGGCAGGGGCTGGAGTATTGCGGATTCTGGGAGCTGGCGTAGCTTGCTAATCCCATCTGGAAGTGGTTCCGGCTTCGCTAGTGGTCGCTTCGGTTTCAGTCCAGATGCCAATAAAGCTTCCCAAAGGTTTCGCTCGACGAAAATCGTCTGGCAATGCTCTCGAGGAGGTGGAAAATCCTCCTCAGTCATCATTTAAGGTTTTTGAACGACCATCCGCCGACAAGAAATCCTCCAGTGATGGCAACCTGATGTCGAAGAGGCTAAGCGAAGGTCAACCTCTGTATTCGCCATCCGAAGACGATGGTAGCAACATATTTTCAGCGTCGGAAAACCACCATTCACGCAATTCGTATGATGCTCTCCCTACTACACTTTTCTACTATCAAGGTACTAACGATCGTGGTGGAAAAGTCCATACGAAGGAAATCCTTCGGCCCGCTTTTCTCAGTCTACACGCCGGTCAACAGACGGAGCGCCTCCGATTGAGGCTCAGTCCCCGCATTCGCGGAACTTGTACGAGATACCAATCCCTCCTATCTCTGGTGCACTTCGGGCAGCCGGGCGAACATTTTCTTTCGGTGGGAGATTTTCGAAAACTTCGGCTGCGGTTCCGCAATCTCAATCATCCATTTCTGGACCCTCAAGAAACCGAGCTATGACTGCGAGCACAACAAGCACTGCGACCGCACCGAGACTTCCCGAGACAGAGCTGCAATTCAATGAGATGGAAGACGATTTTCAGAACATGTTCGGTAGCCTTGAAAAGCGCTACTATACTCCACAGGATTCATCACAAGAGAGAGCTTTACAACCGGTATGTCAATGCCTCTGCCTCTACGTCGACTCTGCCGCAGGGCCCCCTCAAAGACTCCGTAAGGGTCTTTGCTGATTTCTACATTAAGCTAGTCGGTGTCGATTTCTAACATGTCTTCTAGGACTCGTCAGCACCACGCAAGTCTGGACACGAAGGTCCTGCGAGAAAAGATGAAAGGGTCCCCCGCCCAACACCCATTGATACTGATCGATCGCAGGAAGTTGAGCCGTCTCCTTACTCCTGGGATAGCCGACATTCTGAAGATGGTTTACTCGCAGCCATCGATTCGCCCAGAGAACAGCTCGGTAGACAGCATGCACGCCCAGAAATGAGTACAGTTTCCGCGGGAGAAAGGCCAAGATCTGCAGCGCTACCCCATGTCGTGTCGTTTGCGGCCGCAACTACCTCTCATCGATCTCTCGACAAACCACAGACTGCCTCTGATAAGGGATTGAGGCGAAGTGTGATATATACAAGCAAACGCGACTCCGCACCTGTCGACGACGAAGATGCTAAATTAATCATGGAGTCTCTTTATTCTGGCAAAAAGGGTGTACAGGTATTATCCACGTCCGACAAAGGCGTTTCAGACGCCGAGAACGAGTCATCCCTCTTCCAGAACGAAGACTTGTCAGTGGGTGCGGCTCATACTGAGCACCAAGGGCCTCCGACGTTAGTTGGGCCAGCGGAACACAACAACCTTGATGCTTCAATTGCGGCACATGCTCACCTGGCCGCACAATACGAAAGATATCAACCGACATCTGCCTCTTCAGCAAATAAGATCATGACGCCCTCCCAATTTGAACACTATAGACAACAACAGGAGCTCAGAAGATCCACAAGCGACGCATCTATAAGTGAGAAGTCCGGCGAAAGCGATTACGAAGAGGAGGATGAAACAGAGAAAAACCGTGAGGCTGAAAGGCAGAGACGGAAGCAGGAGGCTCATCTTTCTGTCTACCGACAGCAAATGATGAAAGTGACGGGCCAACAATCTTCCGCTCCTGCCCTGCCGACAGACATTGATCGGGCTAGCAAGAGTGCACCAAACTTGTTGCAACAAGGCAATCTATCCGGAAGCGGCAAGAGCAGTGATGGTGATGATGACGAAGAGATTCCATTGGGGATTCTTGCAGCACATGGTTTCCCAAACAGGAATCGGCCTCCCAGTCGCCTAACACCTTCTAACTCTATACCCAATCTTCGAAACTCCTTTCAACAGCCATATATATCTTCTCCGGGGTCGGCCGCAGAACAGGATATGGCGAACCGTAGTAGCTTACCTGTCTTCGCCCGAAATCTGCCTCGAGACCCATATTTTGGTGCAAGCCTGGTCAACCCCTCTAACAGAGAATCTCTAGCCCTAGGAGGAGGCGCGTCTGTGCATGGTGGCCAATCGCCCGCGTTACCTCCAGGAGGCTTAGTGGGGGTCATTGCTACTGAGGAACGGGCTAGAGCCATGAGAAGGGGAAGTCCCAACACCCAAGCCATGTATGACTATCAGGCTGGTGGAGTATCCGGATCGGCAGTTCATCCTGGTGGTATTCCCAGACCTTACACTATGATGAACCTGAATTCGACCACTATGACTAGCTCGCAGCCATCGATATCTGCAACGGAGCAGGCACAAATACAACTTTCACAGCAAATGACGCAAATGGTGCAGATGCAGATGCAATGGATGCAACAGATGATTCAAATCCAGGGTGGCCAGAACGTTCCTCAAACTACAATCCAGGGCGGCCCTCTACCCGGTCTGGGAGCCAGTGTCAACATGCGGCCGTCGTCGATGCCGTCAGCCGACACTATGAGCGGTGCATCGCCTGGTCACCAAGCTGACCACAGGACGCTCAGCATGCTTGACCCCAACGCCTCTTCTCGATTGAATGCCCCGGCTTTGCCATATGCGTCTGGGGCCCTCAGGCCTGGCACCCCAGCAGG